AATGCTAGCGGGCAAATGCCTTTCGACTTGCGTAATTTCCGCACGTGCAAGTTGTTTGCGGTTTGCTTCAGGTTCAGGCCCCCGCTTCCCCGTCCATGCAAGGAAAATTTGCGGGCAATACTTCTGTCCATATCCATTGCAGTATGGAGTTTCGGGCTCCCTTCCCCAGAAACCCGAGGCACACTGTATATGGATAAATTTGCCCACCGTAGTGGCTAGGTTTTTATCCATATCCAGTGCGCCTCGGCCTTGAGGCGCTTCTTCCAACAAAAATTCAAGACGCACTGGATATGGGTATAAGTCTTGCCCGCAAACTTGCCGGGGTCCAACAAACACAGGCTCTTGTCCTTCTTCCCCTGAGATCTGGACACTGAATATTTTGTTCCGCACCGGGCGGTTTCGCGTGATTCCAGGCCCCTGGGCCATCGTGGGTCGATCCGGCCCGAAACATGCAGCCACGAGAGTAGGTCCATGGTGTTGGTCATGGTCTTCTGCGACGTTGGAACTGTTCTGCAACGTCAGATCTCAGGGTCCTCTTCGACTCCACATTCCTCATTGCCTCGTTTCCCCGTTCTTTCTCCTTCTGTCATCCCTGCTGCTCCTCCCTCATCCTCCTCGGATTGCCCTTGGCGCAGATATTGGCTTTGGTATTTTGTCGATTTGCATGCAGAGTCTCATCGGCAATCAAAACGCAGTGGTGGCCGCGGACGCTGTACTGTGCGGGGAACGGACGTGCTCAATTCACGAGCAGGCTGACGCCATAAGTTTGAAGTCGCACGGCGCTGAGGCCAACACGTGCACGCCGAGTAACAGGCGATGTTGCCCAAGCATTGTGTTGCTATCCACTGCCTTTCGGCGGCAGCATGGATGACGGCACTTTGCTCAGGCACACTGGCGCCGTGCGACTTCAAAACAGTGGCGTCAGCTTGCTCGTGAATTAAGCACATCCGATCTGCGCACAGCATCGTCAACGTGGCCACCAGTACGTTTTACATGCCGATGATACTCGGCATGCACGCCGTAAAATGCCTGAGCCAGTAGCCGCGCCCAGGGTAATCCGAGGAGGATGAGGAGCCGTCGCAGGAGCGTGATCGTGCGTTGCAGCGGTGCCACGTGCTCGTGGCGGACGCAGCTCAACCAGCTGGCTACAGCGCCTGAAGCCTCCGACATCATCGGATGCCACTCCTGGAAGGTTAACTTCAGGATTGGCGCCGGTACGTCCCTGGTCGAAAACTTGCCGAATCTGGTTGAATCCCGATGAATCATCTGACTTAATTCCGTCTGCCCCAGCGTAGTCGCGGGCGTAATTTGGCTGAATGTTGGGTTTAACGTGGCCTGATCTGGCTCTATGACCCCCTAATCGGGCTCAATCGCCCGCAAGCGTTTTGATGAAGACCTCCCAGGAGTGCCTCCTAAGAGATCGGAGCTGCAGCAGAGCGGGTTGCGCCTGACCTCTCGCTTGCCAGGTGGCGCCGCGGAAGTCTCAGCGAGCTCTTCACAAGAGCCTCCTGTGTGGTGCCTGCTGTGCAGCATTCGGCGTCCGCGTGGCAGCGCCACGCATATCTATGAGTCGTATAGCTCGCCAAGGGCTTGTCAGATCCAGTCGGGGCGCTGAAGAAGGAACCCTTCTCGTTGGGGAGGGGCTCCGTGTTCCTTCATTGTTTCACAGTTTGCCCTAGGTTTTCTTCAGATTTTCGATGGGAAATCGAGGTTGAACTTATGGGAAAAAGGGGCCTCGTTCCTTATTTCGGGTTCCTCAGGTCAACGCCCCGATTGTACATCAAAGAGGTCCATCTTCAAGTCGAAGGGAACACGAGATATGGGATTCAACGCTTTTTGTTGGGCTCCTTGGGGCGAGATTCACCCATCGTTGCCGCGAGATGGACGCCTCGGCGAGGGGTCGATCGGCCGCTTCCCACGGGGCATCATTGCGGGGGTTGAGCCTGCAACGCGTGTCGGACGGACGGCAGCGGGAAAGCCAGAAACGTGGGGGGGGGATATGGAGGAGAGGGGCCGCACAGGGGCCCTGAGCGGCCCTGGAATTGTCAACGCGGGCTCAAGAGGTGCACCAAAGGTCTTCCAACCTACTTTAGATTCGGCCAGCTGAAAGAACTTGGAGCACCAAGGAAGCACCGAGACTGGAGGGTTGTCGCGTGTCGGGCCCTTGCAGGCGAAACTCGTTCGACGCTTCGTCAGCGTGTCGGGCAGGCGCATGTTCGATACTTTTCTGGGTGCTTGGTTGTTGTGTGTCGGGATGTGGTCCGTAAGTCCGATGGGAGCAGCATAAACAAAAGGCGCACGATTCTTCACGTTTATCGACACCCCGTGAACGAACGGCCCAGCGTGCGGCACCGGCCGACGCCGTTCGGCAGCGAGTCGAGGCTGAACGACGCTCTCGCCGGCGCACGTTGTGGCAACGGGTGGGTGACGGACCGTCTGGGCCCAGCACAGCGTGCCGAAGAGGAAGCTACAGTCGGGGCCCTGCAGAAAGAACCCTTTTCGTTGGGGAGGGCTCCGCGTTCCTTAAGTGTTTCACAGCTTGCCTCAGGTTTTCCTCATGTTTTCGATAGGAGATCGAAGTTCAACTTATGGAAAATAGGGGCCTCGTTCCTTATTCAGGGTTCCTTAGGTCAACGCCCCCATGATATGAGGCTTTGAGGAAGCTCGTGGCGGGCAAAACCACCGTCTTGCCCCTCGCCGACCGCGGCCCTGACGCTGCCGTCGGCAAGCCGGTGCTCTTCTGCGCCGGCGCCTGCCGCGGGGAGCGCGACTCGGAGGCTCCCGCTCCGCAGGCCATCTCGATGCGGCACCCCGCGCCTGAGAGGGAAGTGCACCCTCCTGCGGACAAGCGGCAGCCTGCGGCGTCGCCCGAGGGCGCAGCATGGGTGTGGAGCCTGCCGTCACGCCGTGCCCCTCCGCTCGCCGGCAGGCCGAGATCGGCATATAAAACTCTTTGGGAGCTCCTTGCGCGGAGGTCTTGGCTCTGCGCTGGGCACCCCGGGCAGCGCCTCCGCCACTGCCACTGGCGCGCTCCGCGCGCCAGGGAGGAGGAGCTGGGTCGATCCAAGAGGTCCGCGCGGACCTCGGAGAGCCTGTGCTCCTTCGGTTCGTGGCCCCTCTACTCTGAGGACCCGGCCGTTGGGCAGGTTCCCGGGCACTCGCGCGGCGATCGAGGAGCCAGGACGTGCCCCGCCTCCGCGAGGATTTGTCAGGAGGGAGAAAAAAACGCAGAGACAATTAAGGAATTGTGCGGGAAGGCAAAAACCCGGAAGATGTGGGAAAATACGGGGAATCCTTTTGTTTGTGTGCGTTTATTTGTGTGTCCTGGGGCCCCTTCAATTTGCTCCACCCCGGACCAGTGGCCGTGGCTGCTTGCAGATGGAGCCGACCGGACCGGCGCGACGTGCGACCAGCAGGTGGGGTAGTCCCCGCTTGCGTCCGACGCAGAGAGCGGGGTTCCGCGGGGCAGTGGGGCGAAGATTGCTTTTTGGCCAGAGGTCAGTGGATGTCTTTGCCTCCAGTGGTGTGCCGCGCACTTGGGGTGAGGCGTGCCCCCACGGCAGATGGGAAGGTGGCCTCTGTCATGGCAGTGGGTTCGTATGCCGTCGAGGCGAGTAGTTTGTCCTACGCAGGTACACAAGCGGCGCGTAATATCGATACCCGCGAGCCCCCCTGCCGTCTTCGGGACCGACGAAAACACAGGCATGTCCGGAAGGGGGGAGAATACGAAATCTGCTGCATGCCGCTGGTTTCGGTACCCCCGCTGGGCGCCTCTATCTATACACGGGCGCCTCCAGGACCCGGAGGCGTTGGGTAAACCAGTACATGAACTGTCCCTTTTCATTACCCCCATTTCGTCCGACACAAGTTCAATACAGAATTTGATTCGAGCATGATTCGTTTGACGTGTGCTGACATCGCACATTTGCAACTGTCCGTTACACGTCCTTCCTGTCTCCCTCTCCTGCCTCCTGGTGACGGCATCGTTTGAAAAGTCGATTCTCATATAAGTTTGTATCCCGCAGTTTCCACGATGTGGAATCGAGCCAGCTGGTTGGATATGTTCGAGCTGCCTTTGGCTGTTGCTAAACCATCCGGGGCAACCCATTCTTGTGCGCGATGACTAGGACCACTCCGTTGCCACAGGTCAGCATCGACGTGCGTTCTCTCCCCCACCCCAACGCTGTGCGTCTTCTTCTCCCCCGCACGCGGGAGTGCGAGGATGCGTCTGACCCCGCCCACCCGTCCGGAGGCAGTGGAGGACTTCCGAGCCGAGGTGGAGCTGATGAAGGCCCTGGACCATCCCAGCATCTGCCGCCTGCTGCAGGCCCCCCGCCCTCGTTCCGCCTGCTCCTCCCGTGCACGCCTCGCCCTTCCCCACTTGAACCCTTCAGGGCCGTGCCCTTTCCTCCCAGCCCACCCTCTTCGACATTCTTGTTCTCCGCTCCTGGGCCTCCTTGGGCCCCTTTTCGCCCCTCGTGGCTCCCCGCCCTCCCCCCGCGGTTCGCACCCTCTCCACTCCTGTACTTGGCCCCGTCATTCCCCACCTGACGTCTTCCTGAATTGGGGCCGCGTGTCCGCGCGACGGATCAGGTCTTCTCTAGATTATTTTGGGCATTTGCAGCCACGCACCTTCTGTTATGTTCGCTGTCACTGCTGCGTTCGTGTCCCTCCCCCTCACCCCTCCTCCATCCTTTGAACTTGTGTGATATCGCTGCCTGTTTGGACGCATAGGGCGGGGGGGCTATGCAACGCCACGGTTGGTATCAGAAGCTCCGCGAGTTAAGACATTCATGCCAATAGTCCAGGATTGTTCGATTGTTCCCGTGTCGAATTACGGTGCCAGCCGCGTTGCGATGCGGTACGGCGACCGTCGATATGGTAGACAGGGGTAGCTACATTGTTGCCTTTGTTTGATGTGCTCTGGACTTGTATAGATATTATGTAGTTTGCTGTTAGTCTGATGTACTTTGACATAGCCCTGACATGGTCGGCATGATCAGGTATAGTGTATAGTCTTAGTGTGTAGAGTCGAAAGCTGAGGGTAAAGAGTAGAGAGTGGGGACTGGCGGTGGCGCTCGGGAGTACCAGTCAGGAGTAAGCGGGTTACAGATGATTGAAAAGAGGACTTGGTGATTCGATGAAATCAGACTGAGGGTGCTGAGCCGAACGGGCATTCACTGTCCCTGGGTGCGTGGCTGAAGTGGAATTCCGCGATTCGGATTCTTGTTTTTTGTTGTTACTGTTGTTGTTAATGTTATTGTTGTTACTTTTGTTGTTGTTGGTGGTGGTGGTCGTTTGTTGTTTGTTGTTTGTTGTTTGTTGTTTGTTGCTTGTTGTTTGTTGTTTGTTGTTGCTGTTGTTGCTGTTGTTGCTGTTGTTGTTGTCGTGGTTGTTGTGGTTGTTGTTGTTGGTGTTGGTGGTGGTGGTGTTGTTGGTGGTGGTGGTGTTGTTTGTGTTGTTGTTGTTATTGTTGGTGTTGTTGTGATTGGTGGTGGTGGTGTTGTTGTTGCTGTTGTTGTTGTTGCTGCTGCTGCTGTTGTTGTTGTTGGTGTTGTGCTCGTTGTTGTTGTTGTTGGTGGTGTTGTTGTTGTTGGTGTTGTTGTTGTTGTTGGTGTTGTTGTTGTTGTTGTTGAACATTATTTATTCTAAAGAATAATTATTGTTGGGCCCCCTGGTGCGCGCCCCCCCTGCGCCGCCTAGGCCGCAGCTACATTTTCATCATTTTCGTGAGGAAGCCTCAGAAAAGAGGGTGTGTACAGGATCCGGTTGTTTTGTTGTAATCCGCTTTCCCTTGCAAAAAACAATAGAAAATGACATTTCTTGTTCTAATATAATCAAATTTCAAGAATCCCTTGCAAAAAATAAGGTAAAGTGGACATTCGCGCGCGCAAGACGAAATCCTTCCAAAACCTTAGTGTTCGGAGCGATTTTAACATAAAAACATCAAAAAACCAATGGTTTTTCAACAAAAAAATGTCAAAATCTCATCCCGCGCGCTCTTGCGGATTCGTAGGAAACCCAACACTTTTTAAACATTTCTGTCAAACGGGCTTTTGCGAGCAACTTTTTCGAACTTCTGCGACAACGGTTGCGCACCTGCCAGGGCCATCATCCCTGTCAAATAATACCATGCGGGACACATTCGTTTTTTCTTCGCGCGCGCACGCCGTCGTCGTCGGCCGCGGGGCCCTGAATAGTAGCCACGGTCGTCCGCATGCCACGAAGTGAAGTGTCCGAACGTCATAGGGCGGGAAGCTGGGTGTGGGTGGTGGCGAAGAGTCGTTTGGAAATTTGGTAGAGCTTGAACCGGCCCCCCCACAAAGTGGGGGTATTGCCCGCCTCCTATGAAAACCCTGGCACTGGTGAGAACGGAGTGTCCCCACGTGCTAGTAATTGTTGTTGTTGTTGTTGTTGTTGTTGTTGTTGTTTGTTGTGTGTTGTCGTCGTCCCACCCGCGACCCACCCCGCGACCCACCCGCGACCCACCCGCGACCCACCCCGCAACCCACCCCGCGACGCACCCCGCGACGCACCCCGCGACGCACCCCGCGACCCACCCGCGACCCACCCCGCGACCCGCCCGCGACCCACCCCGAGACCCCCCTGGCGACCCACCCGCGACCCACTGGCGACCCACCCGCGACCCACCCGCGACCCACCCCGCGACCCACCTGCGACCCACCCGCGACCGCGACCCACCCGCGACCCACCCGCGACCCACCCCGCGACCCACCCAAAATTTTCTCGCCTGCGGCGGGTTTCTTTTGCATTCGTTCCAGGTGGAGATCCTGCGACCCACCCGCGACCCAAACCGCGTTCAGTGTACAAATCAAAATTTTCGGCGCCTGCGGCGGGCTGTTTTTCCCCAATCAGAGCTTGCCTCTGTAGGGGTCCTAGCGGATTCATATGGTTAGGTTACGTTTGCCGCCGATTTTCGCTGCACGCCCGGGTGCCCGGATGCCCAGGGGTGCCTGGGTGCCCGGGTGCCCAGGTGCCCTGGTGCCCGGGCGTGCCCGGGTGCCCAGGTGCCCAGGTGCCCCGGTGCCCAGGTGCCCAGGTGCACCGGTGCCGGGGTGCCTTGTAGCCCTAAAGCCCTAGAGCCCTAATAGCCTCATAGCCTTATAGCCCTAGAGCCTTATAGCCCTATAGCCCTAATGCCCTAATAGCCCTATGCCCCGCATAGCCCAATAGCCCTATAGCCCTTATAGCCATATAGCCTTCTAGCCCTATACCCCTATAGCCCTATAGCCCAATTGCCCTAAAGCCTTATAGCCCTATAGCCCCATAGCCCCATAGCCTTATTACCCTATAGCCCTGCAGCCCTATAGCCCTATAGCCCCATAGCCCTAAAGCCTTTGACAAACATCTGATTGGGGCTTTTCTCCGGTATCATTGAATTCCTTCCAGGTGGAGGTGGAGAGCCCGCGACCCACCCACGACCCAATGAACAAGCCAAAATTTCAGCGCCTGCGGCGGGTTTCTTGTGCATCGGCGATCCACCCGCGACCCACCCCGAGACCCACCCGGGACCCACCCCGCGACCCACCCGCGACCCACCCGCAACCCACCCGCGACCCACCGCGACCCACCCGCGACCCACCCGCGACCCACCCCGCGACCCACCTAAAATTTTGTCGCCTGCGGTGGGTTTCTTGTGCATTCGCTCCAGGTGGAGAACCTGCGACCCACCCGCGACCCAAACCGCGTTCAGTGTACGAGTCAAAAATTTTGGCGCCTGTGGCGAGCTGTTTTTGAATTCCTTCCAGGTGGAGGTGGAGAGCCCGCGACCCACCCGCCACCCAAACTACATTCACTGAACAAGCCAAAATTTCGGCGCCTGCGGCGGGTTTTCTTTTGCATTCGTTCCAGATGGAGAACCTGCGACCCAAACCGCGTTCAGTGTAGAAGTCAAAGTTTCTGCGCCTGCGGCGAGCTGTTTTTGAATTCCTTCAGGTGGAGGTGGAGAGCCCGCGACCCACCCGCCACCCAAACTACGTTCACTGAACAAGCCAACCGAAACGGCGCCTGCGGCGAGCTGTTTTTGCATTCGTGCCGGGTGGCCCACCAGCGATCCCCCCGCGCTGAATTTGTCAGAGCACGCAAATCGGCGCCTGCGGCGGGCTTGCTCGCATTAGTTTGGGAGAGCGCCGTCGTGCCATTCTCCCGATCCGGCCCACGTCGACTCTACAACAGCAATCGGCGCCCGCCCCCTCACTCTTATCCACAATTGCGGGGTGCTACGTAGAACATTTATGTGAATCATCTGCCACCTAACCCCTAACCCACCTCAGGCCAGCTCAGATCTGGGCTGTTGAAGTGGGCTGAGCCCTGCTTCGCTTGGATTAGTTTTCTAGCGTTGGCTAGTGTTGATCGGCTTGCCCGAAGGTGTTTTTCTTTGAGCTCCCCGAGTCGTGGCTCCCAGAGCCTGTTCGTCGTTCGCAACGATCCAGGGCAAATGTTGGCGTTTGTATGCCTCCTGGAGCTCTCTTGGGTCTTTCCGGCGACCGTTTGGGGAGGCTTTCGGATTTTCACGGGGCGATGTCGCAATCAATCGAACAAGTCCCTGGTTATATCCACCCATGTGGCATCCGAATCTTAATCATGCCATGAAATTATCTATCCCCCCCGTTGCCCGTCAGACCAAAAATAACACATTTGAGGATGGAGCCGAACGACATCGTTAGCACACAAGCTTGTTCACTAATTCTTGGGGGGGCAGCAGCGAATTCCCAGGAACCTTCAGGAATCTTTCAGGGACCCCGCAGGAATCCTCAGGAATCCTCCAGGAACCATTTTGGATCCTCGAGTCCGAGTCCAGAGGAATCTTGAGGACCCCGCAGGAAACCGCACGAACTTCAGGAGTCGGCAACAAACCTGCAGGAACCCTCGCGACTCCTACGGGCGACTTCGACCTTACAGGAGTCCTCAGGAATCGACAGGCATCCTGGAGGAATCCTGGGGAATCCTGAGACACCCGACGTTTCTTCCAGGTGCCCCATGAATCCGCCGGAAGCCTTCCAGATTGTCTAGGATTGCTTCAACGAGCGGCAGGAACCCACAGTAATCATCATGAGTTCTCCCGGAATCCTTAGGTATCTTTAAGCATCATCACAGCTTTGGGACAGTCTACACACATCACGCCGCCATTCTTGCTCGAACCTCCATCCTCGATCCTGCGACTCCCACAAACCGTCTTCACTCAGTGAAACCCCCTCACAACGTCTCGACTTGGAGGGCAAGGTGAGGCTGTACTGAAGTTGTCAGGCTGATTCGCCCAGTTATTAATCCTAAATGCAGGCCTTTCGTTGGATTCCTTGCTCGGGTACACTGGTAAGTCCTCTCGGTGAAGGGCCTCAGCGGTTTCAGACAGACGGAGCGATGCCCGACGCCTCGAGCTTGTCATCTGCAGCCTCAGGGCTGAAGAGAATGTGCTGTTCTGTGGTGGGGAACAGCGAATCACCAGGAATCGTGCGAATCGTTCAGGGGTCCGCAGGAATCCGCAGGAATCCCTAGGGCATCCTGCAGGAACCTTCAGGACACCATCAGGAATCGGCCAGATTCTCCAGGAACCCTTCAGGAATCACGGTGCGTTCCTCGAAAGTTTTCAGGCGTCCGCAGCAGGAATCTTCAGTCATTCTGAGGGATCCTCACGAATCCCCCAGGAATTGCCTGACACTTTTCAATCATCTTCATACTGCCGCCAGGCACCCTCAGGAATCCTTCGGCATCCTGCAGGAATATTCAGGAATCTTTCAGGAATCGGCAGGAGCCCTAAGGACCCCTTCAGAAATATCCAAGAGGCCGTTTTACACAGAACCCTGTCTTAGCATGGCATTCAGAGCAACGCGCACGGAATCGGGGACACGCCGGGTTGGTACGTTCCTCTTGCGGTCCCGATAAAGTTGGCCAGGAGATGCCTTCGGGGCCCTGTTGGAGCCTCGCTGGGGATGGTAGGAGACATATTCCTAGGCCAACTTGGGCCAGATTGCGCCGTCGCCGAAGCAGCATTTTGGCCACCGACGCTACGCTTAAGTCGGGCCTGTCCCTCTACAGGGGGAATATTCAAAAAGTAGTAAAAAAATAGTCAGGGGACTATTATTGGAGTATTTTTTGACCATGTTGGAGTATGTTTTGAGTATCTGTATTTTTCGTCAGAAATCCCCCTGTAGGGGGACACGCCCGACTTAACGCTAAGCTGGACTCTTCAGCTTGTCAGGACCCTCGAGGTCCGACCCGCTAGGGGCTCGGAAGTTGGTAGACCTCCTACCCCGACGCGTCGAGTAGCGAATGGGCCGTTGTCGGTCCGCGGGAGGGCGTCGCGGCCGTCATCTTGCGGGTCCAGGTCCGTCGGTTGCGGTGCTAGGCCGTTTTCACGGAAGGGTGGTTTATGAAAGGGAGCTCTGTCCACCGCCGAGGGACGGGCTGGATGATGTGGAGGGAGAGTGAAAATAAGTACGAGGGGATTCCTGCAGTGCTGGAACCGTAAGCTTTCCAATGATGCCCAGAGGACCGGGGTGAATTGCACGCATACTACAGGCCTCCCTCCCTTCGTGTCGTCGCCCACTTCTGCCGAGCAGCATTCCAGAGGGTCCTCTCTCTCGGCGATCAATCAGTCCCTCTCTCCCTCTCTCTCTCCCTCTCTCTCTCTCTCTTCTCTCTCTCTCTCTCTCCGTCAGCGTCGTCATCTTCCTCTGGTCCTGTCTCCTCCCACCCTGCTTTCCTCCAGAGTCTCGGGCTGTAAACTTCAAGCGGAGGTGTTCGAGGACTCCAAGAGCCTGTACCTGGTAATGGAGCACATCACCGGGGGCAACGCCCCCGCCCCCCCGAGCGTCATGTTGCCTTGAGTCGGGAGCGGCAGGGCGTGAGAGAGACCACATTGGTCTTGATGGCCGACAGTCGGGGAGGAACATTTGCCACGAGGAAGAAGTGATCACGAGGGAAAGGTGTCTGGAGGTCGCTCGCTGGTTTCGGCCCATTGGGGTCCTTCTCGGGCCCCCGGACCGTCAACAAGCTAAGCAGCATGAGCATTTGTTTGCTGTGCCGCTCATGCCAATCACGACAGCGCATAGGACGAGGAAGAGAAGGACGACGTCGAGGATCATGGCAGCGGCTGAGGACTGATGGTAGGTGGCGTCCGGGAAGAAGTCCTCAGTCGCGAACTTGATTGCCCAATGATCACCAGGAGGATCATATGGCCAGGCTCGTCCTGTTGACGGGAGAGCGGTGTGCGGCTGCGTGCCCGGGCCCAGCCTGGAGGACGCATCCGCTACTCCTGGGCCCAGGATGGACCTTGCCAGGGGCTGCGGGTAGAGGAGGAGGAGCAGGAGGAGGAGGAGGAGGAGGAGGAGGAGGAGGAGGAGGAGGAGCTGGAGGAGGAGGAGGAGGAGGAGGAGGATCTGGAGGAGGAGGAGGAGGAGGAGGAGCAGGAGGAGGAGGAGGAGCAGGATGGCCAGGGCCCATCCTGGGCCCAGGCTCGCCCGGGATCCCGGGCGACGGGCGGCCAGGCCAAGCTTGGGCCCCGCCTGGCCACCGGCCAGGGCCCATGCCGGGCGTGTGCGCCGCTCCTGGGTCGAGGATGGGCCTCGTCCGGAGCGGTGTGGTGTGCAGAGGCGGCCTCGTCGCCCCAAAAGCTCACTCCTTGAGAGTCCGCCCCCCAACCCAATCTATAGGGGCGAGTCATGAAGGCTGAGAACATGGATCATGGAGAGGCATTCAAAGAATCGGCATCGATTCAACTGTGGACTGAAGGTGCAAGGTGCATCGCGCCGAAATTAGCCGAACGGGCAGCGAAAGCAACGTTGGCCAATTGATGACAATATGGCAGGCGATACGAGGGCAAGCCGCATGCGATCTTGAAAAGCAGAGTGCAGTGCAACATCCAGTTTCAAGACAAGCTCTAGTGAGGGCAAGCCAGAGGCAAGGTGGGCTGCAGCGCAGCAGCCAGGAAAGCGCCCCAGAGCCTACTTCCGCCAGCACAGGCCTCCCACGCGATGGCCTGCCAGGAATGGACCACAGCCCCGCCGCAGTACAGCTGAGCAGTTGTCAAGCAGTGTTGGCGTGTGGTAGCAGCGGGCACACTCAGAGGGCAAGGTGCCTGCTGTTTTGTTGATTCAAACATTTTAATTCCAGTTTGTTTATGCTTCTCGAATTGACAGCGTAGGCGCCAGTCCAACACACCCAGAGAGCAGACGTCCATCATAGTGCTCACCAGCTGGCTCTGGGAAACATGTTGCGCTCAAGGGCAGCCTTCCCATGACATGGGCAAACCAGATCGGACGCTGGCTCGTTGGGGAAAGTGTTCGTTCGACCTTTAGTTGCTGAGGGACCAGCTAAGTTACGTGACACATTCTAGACGATTCGCGTAACCCCACCAGCTTTGCACACCTGGCAGCTCTTGCAGCCCGCCTTCAGCCCCCGGCGCCGCTCAGCGTCCCTCGGCGGCAGCTCTGGCAGCCGTGAGTGCGCTCGCTGGATAATTAGGTTTCGCCCGTAGCCCGAGACGACTCCTGACGCCGCCTGCGCCTTCGCTTGCGGCCGCGACCCACAAAAACCCAACAGCCCATCCAGAAACGATGCCTGGACGAGATGCCCTGATCAGGGATGTGGAGAATCATACAGTGGAAGAAAGGGCTGGTGTAAGACGCCATACCCAAATAGGGAGAAGATAAGAGCGGAGTCGGAGGAGCAGGAGGAGGAGGAGGAGGAGGAGTATAGGGAGAGGGGGAGGGGGAGGAGGGACGAGGAAGCAGGAGGCATAGGCGGATGAGGAAGAAAAGGAGGAGGAGGTGGGCGAGCAGAAAGGTAGAGGCATCAGGATACGGGTCGGACTTGTGCTTCCCTGGCCACTTACAGATGTCAGGGTTGGCCCAGAGTAGCACGCCTTTCGCATCACTCGCGCAAGCTGTGGGCTGGTGATCCGAGCTCCCCGATCCCCATCGCCTGGTGTTCGAAATGCGGCGCGTTTGGCAGGCAGTGCATGCACTTGTTACTTGGCCATTGGTGAGGGGCCGCCTCGTAACGATGATGCCGCGCGGCCTCCCTTCCTTCTGAAGGAAGGCCGCGATCCGAGTGCCAGGCGACATGTCTTCGGTCGCGGCATGCTGCTGAGAGGTCGGCAAGCAGTGTGATCCGACAGTGTTCCACCCCCCCTGTCTCCTATCCCCCCTTGTTGTGCTGCAGGTCCCGCTTTCTCTGGATGGCGGATCCTGCTGCGCAGATTGGAAACTGGAAATTCGAAAGGCAGAGGCTTCCTGATGCTTCTCGGAGTCTCTTCGGATGTCTTCAGGCGTTTTGGAGGCCCCTTGGAGCCCTCTTGGGGCGTTTTGGAGGCTCGTGACAGTCCCGGGTGCCTCTTGGGGCGTCCTTAGTGCCTCCGGGGGGCCTTAGGGGGCCTCTTGGGGGTCTCTTGGAGGCCTCTTGGAGGTATCTTGTGGGCGTTTGGGGGTCCTCTTGGGGCCTCCTGGGTACCTCTTGGGGCCGTCTCGGTGCACCTTTGGGATCCTTGGGGGCCATCTTGGGGTCATCTTGGAGGAGATCGATCAACGTACCAGCCGTACTAGATTAGGCCCTCCCCCCAGGAGGCCAACATAGTTGGCCAAAACCTCAGTAACACGGGTGAATTGGGCTTTCTCGAAGATCTTGGAGGTCGTGGGTGTTTCTGGGGGGGCCTCTTGGAGCCTCCTGGGGGTCTCTTGGAGGCTTGCGGGCCTCTTGGGGGCCTCTTGGGGCCTCCTGTGCGCCTCTTGAGGTCGCCTTGGGGCTCTCTTGGGAGCTTCGGGGCCATCTTGGGGCCATCTTGGAGGAGATCGATCAAAAGAGACGGGCTCCTTAAATTAGTCCCCCCCAGGTGACCACCATATGGCAACAACCTACCTTGGTAAAATCATTGATGTTGGCCTTCTCGCCGAGGCCTCTTGGGGCGTCTTGGGTGTCTCTGGGGGGCGTTCTGGGGGTCTCTTGGGAGCCTTTTGGGGGCATCTTGGGGGCCTCTTGGGACCTCTTGTGGCCTCCTGGGCGCCTCCTGGGGCGGTCTCGGGTCACCGTTGTGATCCCTGGGGGCCATGCTGGAGGAGATCTATCAAAGGAGGAGGGCTCCTGAATCAGAGTACCCCCCCCCGAGGAGGCCAACGTGTAGCCAAAACGTTGGTAAGATCCATAGGTCTGGCTTCCTCGCCGAGGCCATTATGGACGCTCTAACTGCTCGCGCCCACCCCCTCTCCAGGTCCAAGGGGCGGGAAGAGGGGGAGGGGTCGAGCTACCCACCCGCCCGCAAGCCGTCTTGCTCACTCCCACCCGCCCTCCCAACACATGAGTAACACCCGGATGTCAGCATATCGCGTCGTAAGAACGCCGCAGACGCCACGGGAAGCCCAAGCGTGCCAGGCGCGCCAGAATTGCACGTGCCAGGGGCGCCAGCGACGCTGGTTGAAAACCTGGCCTTTCTGACGCTCCTGGAGTCCAGGTCCCGTTTTTCTGGGGTCCCGTCTGTTTCACGCGAACAAATGCATACAACCGCTTGCCTGTAAGAGTTTCGTCGGATTCCGACGCCGCGGCCTCGTGGTCGGGGTATCCGGTCGTCTCTTGGGCCATCACTCGTGGTGCCCTCGTGGGAGCCGTTTAGAGCCTCTGAGGGCCATCTTGGAGGCAATCGATCAGACACACAGCGGGGGGACGTTCAGCCCCCCCTATTTGGGGCTAGCCCCCCCTTTCAGGGCCCCTCAAACAGCCTCTTGAGGCCCTTTTTGGGCCACCTTGGGGCGCTCTTGGGGCCGTCTTGGAGGCCTCGTGGGCCTGGCTTGGAGCTCTCTTGGGCCATCCACCCGGAGGCCTCCCCGTCTGGGGCCTTCAAAACGGCCTCTTAGCGCCCTTGTGGCGCCAACTTGGGGCACTCTTGGGCCGATATGGGAGCTTCTTGGGCCTGGCTTTTGTGGTTTCTTGGTCGATTTTGAAGCTACTTGGAGCTTTCGAAAGCCCATCGGAAAGATAAGGCGGAAAGGCAGCAGACACTGATGTGTCAAACCAGTCGGTCGACCACCTGCGCCCGGAAGGCAGGTGGGATCTGCTGGCACCCCAGCCGTCCCTGTAAGATACCAATGCAAAATGGTCGCGGGGCGGCCGCACATGCTCCAAATGTGGAGGCAGAGTGCGTGTCGTGTTGTTTTTTGAAAGGGAAGGGGGCGGGAGGGTTTGAGGGGGCCCTGTCCTCATTGTTCTGGATTGGCTGCCAGCCGAGTGGGGGAGGGGGTGTACATTCATAGGGGACAGTGAAAAACCCTTCTCCGAAGGGGAAGAAGGGGTGTGGAAGAAGTACCTTTCAAAATCACTCATGCCCTAAAGGGCTGGTGGAACTATGTGCACCGCCGCCTGGCAAGCTCGCAGACATTCCGATGGCCGCGCTGCTGAAAAGAACGATAGTGTGGTCGAACACTTCCCCGTTCACAAGTTATGTGGGTCCCCACTCCAGACTCCTAAGATGGCGCACTTCGACCTCCAAGCAGAGTGATACGATCTCCAAATCGGAGGCCCTAAGCTCAAGGGTGCGGGTCTCGGAGTTGGTTGGGTGCTTGAGTGCTCCCGGCGGCGAAAGGATTCGGCTCGATTGGGGGCCTTTTGAGGTGAATCAGATGCATGCGTGTTGTTGCTGCCGTAGGGCGTTCAGTACTGGCACGCTCAGACGGATCGACGCTTTTACGAAGTCCAGGAACGGAGACAAGAGGGCACAAGGCCCTAGTGGGGTTTCCAGCGCGGGTCGTCAGGGTACGGCGGGGGTGTTCGTCAATGAATATGCCCGGGAGGCTTCAGAACCTGGATGATTCTTTGTCCGATGAGAGCGGCGATGATATCCATGACCCAGCCTCAGTGGGTGTTCCACCAGCCCTGGATTCCTGATCCAATGCCTTCACTGCGCGGCAGACGCCCCTCCCCTGCTCTGACTGCTTGTATTAAGTCGGGCCTGTCCCCCCATACAGGGGGATTTTGGACAAAATGCGCAAAACATGCTCAGAATAGATGCCCCAAAATACTCTAAACATAATCCCCTGGCAATTTTTTGACAGGGGGGAAATTCAAAAATAGTCAAACAACTCTTGGGCATCTATTCTGAGCATGTTTTTGCGTATTTTGTCCAAATTCCCCCTCTATAGGGGGGACAGGCCCGACCAGCTGCCCGTGTCACGAGGAGCCCCTTGGTGCCAACGCGGCCACGGCAAGCGCTGCCGCCTGCCCCCGCCGACCGAGGCCACGGCGAGCCTCCCCGCCCCATGTCGTTCCGCCGCGCGAGCCTGACGTCGGGCCCGGCCCTCTGCAGGAGGAATACTCAAAAATATTGTTTTTTTTATTATTATTTTTTTATTTAAAACACAAAAAAACAGTCTGGGGACTATTTTTGGAGTATTGTTTGACCATTCGGGGGTCTTGGTTTTGATTTTTTTCATGTTCCGTCGAAAATCCCCCTGGTAGGCGGACACGCCCGACTCGACGCGAGCCGCCCACTCCGTCAGGCGAGCTCTTCGAGCGCGTCGCGGAGTTCGGCACCTTCTCCGAGCACGACGCCGCGCGCGTGATCCAGCAGGCTGGCCGGCTCCGCGCCCTCGGATGGGGTCAGAGTCTGCCGAGGTCTGCCGTCGATGCTTTTTGGGCGCCGCATATGCCCCCGGTCAGTGGCATGCGCACGGCTGGGAGGTCGACTGGCCGTAGGAGTGACCTTTCGCCGGAGTGACCTTTCTGGTGCGGGCACAGGTGGGCCCCCAGATGGCTGAAGACGAAGGAGGAGCAGTGGCTTGCGCGCCCAGGTTTGGTCCCCACGCGGCCCCCAAAAAGCCGCGCATCAAAGGTCACTCTTACCCAGGGTCACTCTTGCGTGTAGCCGAGGGAGGTCGGGTTGATCAGGAAGACAATTATCGGGTTGGGAGGATGGGGCTGGGAGAGACGATCAGATCATCCGTGCTATCCAGAATGTCGAGCGTGCTTGTTGCACAGTCGCGCCCCGTTTCCTCCCAGCCTCACTCTCCCAACCCGATAATGGTCTTTTTGGGTTGAGGGCACGGGAGGAAAGGTCTCGCGTGGGTCGTGCCGGGATTTCTCCAGGGTGCGTGCCCGTCTCTCCAGGGCCCAGGGATTTGCCCTTGTCAGTGCCTCCATCTCCCGTCTTCTCCCCCCCCCCCCCCCCCTTGTGGGACCACAAACAAAATTGTCATTCTTGTTTTCTGATTCATTGTTTTGCCGATCGGCGCGGGCCCTCGCACCCCCTTTCCCCCCCCATGGAATAGATTTGGGCTGTTTTGGGGGCGCCTGTTTCGAGCAGGTGGAGTCTCCCCCGAAGGACGCACTGCTGCAACACACTCACACTAAGCAGTGAGGTCCAGAGCCAGACCCCCCCCTCCCCCCCCCTTCCGCCTAATGTCGAAACGCCGAATAAGACAACGTTCACATGCGGAGGGGGAGGGGAGGATGGAGAGACGCTTGTGGTGTACCTCTTTGGGCCCCATGCTCGCCGGGGGGGGGGGGGGGGACACGTTCGGGAGCCTCCGCAATTTCCCGTGAGCCACGGCGTCGTGCTCCGACACCCGAGGTCTGACGTCGTGGAACAATGACAGCGTCGTGAGATTCAATGCGCGGCTGGAGGTATCGACTATCTGCTTACTGTTCGGGCCTGATCCATCTGTGAGGGTCGCGGAGTCCGACCGCCGTGATCGTTCCACGACGCGAAGCTCTGAGTGAACCCTCGTGGCACCGCTCCTGCGGCGGGGCCACCAGGAAGGGAGCGTTCTCGTTTCTGAGCGTGAGGCCTTCGGACATCTCTCGATCCTAGAGGCTTGCGCCGTTCTGACCGGGCACCAGAGGAAACAAGACGAGGAGGACGATGACGAGCAGGAGCAGGAGGAGGAGGAGGAGGAGGAGGACGACGACGATGACGATCACGAGGAGAAGGACGAGGACGATCAGTAGGATGAGGAGAGGGAGTTGGAGGAGCAGGGAGGAGGAGGAGGAGGAGGAGAAGGAGAAGGAGAAGGAGGAGGAGGAGGAGGAGGAGGAGGAGATCCTCTTGGGGCCGTTATTGGGTCTACCGGGGCCTTTGGGCTCCGCCTCTGGTGTGTGGGCTGATCTTGCGGCCTCCTCTTCCTCGTCCTCCTCCTCTTCCTCCTCCTCCTCCTCCTCCTCCTCCTCCTCCTCCTTCTCCTCCTCCTCTCCTCCTCCTCCTCCTCTCCTCTCCCTCCCGTCGTTGCTCCTCCAGGCCACATACCACCTCCTCCTCCTCCTCCTCCTCCTCCTCCTCCGCCGCCCTCCCTCCTTCCCTCTGTCTTTCCTCATTCCTTCCGTTCTCCTTCCTCATTCCTCCTTCCTCCTCCCCCTTCTTCCAATGGCCCAACATAGCTGGAGCTCGTTTGCATTGTCATCAGGGTGCTATCGGTGACCCCCCGATCCCACAGTGTGACCTACCGTCTACCGTGCTGCAGGTGGGTAGCCAAGGCAAGGTCCCAGTACAGGGCGCCTATAGCAACGAGCCAATTTTTTCTTCCAATCACTGTTCCCGGTGAATGAACACACCCTTCACCCGACTGGCAGCCAACCCAGACCCAGGAGGGCACCCAAGAGGCCCCCCGCACCATCCCTGTCAAGAAATAATGCCAAGTGCGCTTCGCACCAAAATCTGGATCGTGCGCGGACGCCTCACGACCACTTTGTATTGATCTCTGACAGGGATGGGGGAGGGGGCAGCATATCGCCTGCTGTATGCAATTCCAACATTAAGTCGGGCGTGTCCCTCTGGAGGAGGAAGATTCAAACATAGTCTGGAATAGTATGGGGGCGATGTTCTGTTATCTTTGACTATGTTTGAGTGTGCTTTGACTTTCTTTTTCCGCCCAGAATCCGCCTGTAGGAGGACATGCCCGACCTAATACCAACACCCTAACCACCCATTGCCAGAAAGCAGACATGCACTTTGCACCAAAATCTGGATCATGCGGGGACGAATCGCGGTCACATTGGATTGGTTTTGCAAGGCATTGCGTGGGTGCCGGCATATTGACTGCTGTGTGCAGGCCCGCCATCCATTCTAAAAGAAAAATAAGGAAGTTCATTATACGAGGGATGGCGGGGGGCAGCACATTGCCTGCTGCACGCAGGCACACCATCCTTGTCAAAAACGAATGCGAAGCGGTCGTTGGCGCACACCCGCACGCGACAAACCCGCCGTCATTTTGCATTGTTTTTTTGGCAGGCACGGTGGGAGGTTCGGCATCTTGCCCAGTGTGGCGCACCTGGTGGGCGTGGCGCAGCTGGAGTGTGCGTCGCACCTCGCGGGCTTCGCTTACCTGGCTGGCGTCTGCAGTGGTTTCCGATGGCTGTCGATGGCGGTCCCTGTCCATGCTGAGACTCGGGGGCCACTTGTGTGTTGGGAGGGCGGGTGGGAATGATCTAGGCCTCCGACAGGGGTCGGAGTAGATGGGGTCGGAGGATGGCGTCGCATCGGTGATGCATCGGCGATGAGGCTCGATGTGGAGCCACATTCTCTCCATGCCGGCGTCACCGATGCATCGCCGACGTCGCCGATGCATCGGCGATGCACTGCCGATGCATCGCCGATGAATTGGCGATGCGGCGCGATCGTCCGACCCCATCGATTCGGACCCCATCTAGGAGGCCTCTGAATGAGCGAGACGGCTTGTTGCGTGTGTAGCTTGTCCCCCTCCCGACCCTTCTCATGGCGCCAACATCGCATAGTGGATTCCGTTCGGAAAACAATGAGATGGGCACAGACTGTCCTGGAGAATCTCGTTCCCGATTTCGAAGTGAATTTCGCGCGGATTTCGTTCGGCCAGGAATGGAGACTCAACAAAAAATCACGTGAAACTCACTCCGTTTTTCGCCCGCCGCTTGGTGGTTCTGCAGAGGCGGAGACCCACGCAAAAATCTGCTGTAGCACGTCTGCAGGGTCGGTGCAGGGACCCTCCCCCCCCCCCTCTGTGGGCCTGGTGGGGCCCACGGGCGGACGAGCCGGAGCGGCGACCGCGGGATCTGAACCTGAGATGCTCTGCTCCGCGTGGCGAGGGGAAGGAGTCAGGGGCAACGATAGGGGGGGATAGGCATACAGTGCCGTTTTTAATACATGCTCCGCGTGCGGATCATGTATTAAACATGCAGGGATTTAGTATCAGAACGACGATGAGTTCATGCATATATTAAAATCAGATTTTCTTAACAATCCCATGTATTAAAAACTGCCCTGTAGGGGGGATGCATCGACCCCCAATCGCCCATTGATCGCCGATAGGGTGCCGATAGCCCCATCGCCCAGGAAGGTGCGGATTCACTATCGGAGGCCCATCGCCGATCTATCGGCGATGTATCGCCGATTCCAGGTCGATGCATCCCCCCCTATGCCAGTCCCCCCTATCTTTGCCCCTCAAGGAGGGCGAGGGAGGAGGAGGAGGAGGTGTCAAGCAGCGGCGAAGCGTCCTAGCTCGCCTATGGGCCTCTAAGAACCTCTTGTGGCTAGCACGAGATGTTCTAAGAGCATTTCTGGCTGAGACGGTTTTCTTTTAACACATGGGGCTTATGTTCTAAGAGCATTGTTTTTGTTCTCAGGACATCTTGGGGTTCTAAGAACATGTCGTGATATGAATGCCGGGAAGGTCGGTCCCTGCTCAAGAGGTGGGGCTCGAGCATCGATGCAGGCCTGCGGCGAGAACGTGGCAGGCTTTCGGTCCGCCAAAAGGTGGGAACACACACACACACACACATCGGCGGCGAACTCTGCCAACTGTGCGAGCCGGTCGGGAGTTCGAGTGCACCGTCGGCCTGAGAACAGCAGAACTGGTGCATCAGTGGGCCCTCGTGTTGGGTGCGCCTCTGCCAGCCAGGCAAAAAGGCATGCCTTTGCTCTGCGGTCGGCGGGGGTGCCGCCGAGAGGAGGTCCCCACCCCCCGCGGGGCGTGGAGCCCTCGCGGCTGCCGCGCGGCAGAGGCCGAGGCGGCCGCTCTCGGCGTCGCACGGAGCAGTCCACGGCACGCTCATGTTCCAAAGCCGGTCCCACACAGTACTCCAGCCGTTTGCACCCCAGCTCAGGCAGAGCGAAAAGAGACCATGCCAGGGCTGGTTCGTGAACCTCGCAGGGTTTCGGGCGGCAGCAGCGCTGGCGCCCACCCCAGCCTCGGTGATGCCGGCCTCTGCAGGAGCGGGGGCGCCCCCGCTCGGGACGCCCGACGTCGCGCCTGTCTTCAGGGCCACTGATGAGGCCTGCCGCCCTGGCGGTGCCCTTGCCGTGGGCCTCCTCCTCGAGCAGGCGCTTCGCGCGGGCCCGGATGAGCGCCAGACCCAGCGGCCGCAGGTGGTTCTCGAGGCAGCCTTGCCTGTCTCTTGGCGCATATAAGGGGCATCTGGGGTGGAAGTTGCATGGTCTCCCCTTCTGCAAGCCGCACCTCCAGGAGACGTGGCGGAAGCGGCTGTGGACTGCGTCGCCCGTCCGAGGGGTACTGGCGCTGGACCCTGGGGCCGCCAGCTTGACGTCCTTGGCCTGCCTCTTTGCAGCGTCCTCCTTGTCGCCGCGCATGGCAGCAGCAAACGCTGCGGCGTCAGGCTGCTACCCAGGCTGCGCTTCGCACGAGCTAATCGTACGCGACTCTGTGTTTCTCGGCCTGCGCCGTCGGACTAGCTCCGCCGGCAGCGAGGCACGCCATGCGGTTCAAGACGGGAGCGCCGGTGAGGAGGCCACGGAGCAACTCGGCCCACGCGAAGCGGATGAAGCTGGGTACCCAATCCGCGAAGACACGGCCTTCCGTCCAGATGCGCTCTTCCTCCAAAGACTCCACGGGTGTGCGACACCGGTTTGTTAGCTCTCGCAGCCGCAATGCGCTGCTTCAACTGATAGGCCGTGGGTTAGCAACGGAGAGCTGGCTCCCCGAGCCCCGCTGCTTCGACGAGCTTGTCAAAGTCGTCCGGTTCTTGTTCCCCCAGCAGTGACAGCAAAGCGGAGCCGCTCGGGGACGCGAGCGCCGCCTGGAGCAGGCAGAGCTGCTCGAGCGGCCGCGCGACAGCCGGAGCAGCTTTGCAATTCACAGCAGCCGCCTGGACTGCGGGTACTTCCACTTCCCTGACGACCGTGGCCGAAGCAGCCACGATGCCTGGTGGCGGGCACTGCTGCAACCCACTGTGCCCTGAGGGGTCGCACCAGCGCCTGCACAACTCAAGAACCATCTCGCCATGCGGGGTGAACTCCACTGATGTGCGAAGCTCGCCTGCGTTGGCGAGGCGTGCCACATGACATGTGTTCTTTATCTCGTTTGCAACTTCGCCTGGGCCCGCACTTTGCTGCAGCAGCGTGGAACGACAATGTGCTGTCCTCGATCATGCTGCAAGTTCTCCAGCCAGCACGCGGCCTGCATGCCTGCAGCATGCCGGATGTGAAAGCCGCGCGCTTCGCGGCCCCATCCATGAGGCAAACGGGTCTGGCAGCAGGCCGCGCGACGGGAGAGGAGGCCAGGCAGGAGGCTCGGCAGATCGCAGACCGCGAAACGCGGCTCACGGGCCGCAGATCAAGACTGCGGTTCGCTCTCTTCGGGGGCCCGTGCTGCAGGCGGAGGGGGGGAGGGAGCCAACTGCGGAGTCCGGGATGCAGACGGGGATGGTGGGGAGGGGCGGAGGGGGAGAGGGTTGGGAGGGGAGCCGGGAAGAGTGAGGGAGGCGGAGGGGGAGACGGAGGGGGGAGGATGAGGGGACAGCAGCGGGCAGGAAAAGAGGGAGAGCAGGGACGGAGGGGAGGAGACCACGGGCGGGGCGAAGGCAGGAGTAGCCAGGCGAATGGCGGGGGAGGGAGGGAGGGACGGGACCGCTGTGTTGGACTGCTGTGGTAGGGGGGGGGGGAGGGGAGAGGAGGAGTAGGGGGGAGGGGGGGAGAGGAGGACTTGGAAGGAATGGGAGAGAGGGGAGGAGAGGACCGCCGGGTTGGACCGCGCTGAGGGGAGATGAGGACTCGAAGGAAGGGGAAGAGGGGCGGAGGGGCGGGGGCCGCCCTCCCAGAGGTTGCGTCGGCGCTCGCGTACTGCCACGGTCACGGGGTGGTGCGCCGGGGGGCGCACCGCGACGATAGCGCTGCTTCAATGCAGACACGATGCGATGACGCGGCGGTGGCCCGGAAGGTCAGCTCTGACCAATAGCAGAAAGTTTGGAGGCACACATTTATGTTTCAATTTTCTTTCTGAGATTCGTAGATCGGCGGTTGGAGAGGGCCCGCTTTGCCCCCCCCAGATTTGGCGCGATCTCCTTCCTTCGGAAAGGAGGGGACACCGTGACCAAACGCAGAGGATGTGTTTGTTATTTCTGACGCACGCCCCCTGAGGGTCGTCTGATGTGCTCCAGCATCCTGACTTGAACAACTCGTCCTGGTAAGCAAGCTGGCATGAGACGGCCGGGGACGGTCTATGAGGCCCCAGGACCAGTCCGACAGTCCGACATGTCCGTAGAGGGACCATAAACATTATGTAACCTAAGTCACCCCCAGGGACGCAAAGATAGCCGCGTGTTGCGGTCTGGGCTGGAGAGGCGCCTTTTTCCAGGAGGGGCGACGCGAGGGCACGACATTGACCGCGCGTCGTGCATCGCGGGATTCGATGCGCGAGATTATGCGACCTAGGTCGCCATTGTGGCTCAAGTTTGTCCTGCCATAAGCCAAAGATAGCATGTGCAGGCTGCGGTACGAGTGCGACAGGTGGTTCGTGGTGTCAACTCTGCCACTGGCGCTGCCCGATGCCACCAGTCACGACTTCAGAATGGTGAGGTTCCAGCGCGTTGGAGGATCGCCATACAATGCGGCCAAGGCTCGCCGTGGCCAGAAACGACATTGTTGACGCTTCGCGAATCCCCACCAGCCCATCCAGAAACGATGCCCAGAGGAATTGCCTCGATCAGGGAAGCGGGCAGCACCCAGAGGAAGGGTCCCCCAGTGGAGGCTTCTTGGAGCGTCTTGGGGGCCTCTTGGCGGTCCCGGACGCCTCTTAGAGCGTCTTGGGTGCCTCGGAGAGCTTCTTGGGGCCTCTTGGGGGTCTCTTGGGAGCCTCTTGGAGGCCTCTTGGGCGCCTGTTGGGGCCTCCTGGGGCCTCCTGGACGCCTCTTGGGGCCCTCTTGAAGCGCTCTTGGGAGCCTTGGGAGCGCTCTTGAAGCCATCTTGGAGCCATCTTGAGGCCTCGGCGGGAAAGCCAAAAACATGGATTTTCCAAAGGTGTTGGAAGGATGTTGGCCTCGTCGGGGCCTCCTGGGGGAGCTCTTTGGCCACTTGGAGCCGTCTTGGAGCGGTCTTGGGGCCTCTTGGAGCATCGTGGGCGCCATCTTGAGGCATCTTGGGATATCTGAGAGAGCGTGATCCACCGCCGCTTTACTGTGGAAAATTGCAAACCTTTTCCTCCGGAACCCGGGGGTCGCCCCCCCCCCCCCCCCCCCCCTCCGAAAATCCCCCCCCCTGCTGGAACCCCCCCCCCCCCCCCCCCCCCCCCCCTCCCCCGGCAAAACCCCCCACCACCCCTAACCCCTCCCCCCCCCCCCCCCTCCCCCTCGAAAACCGGGGGGTCACTACCGGTTCGAACCCCTCCCCCCCCCCCCCCCCCCCCTCCGGATCCGGAAAACCGGGGGGGGTCACTACCGGTTCGAACCCCCCCCCCCCCCTCGAAAACCGGAGGGGGATCACTACCGGTTCGAACCCCTCCCACCCCCCCACTCACCGCCAGCAAACGACTCCCGGTCCCTACCACCGTCCGCATCACATCCTCCACTGTTGTTCCCAGCACCACTGTCCTCACCACCACTGTCCCCACTGTGTCCCCACCAGTGTCCCCACCACTGTCGCACTGTCCCCACTGTCCCCACCACTGTTCCCACCACGGTTCCACTCTCCCCACTGTCTCCACGGCCCCAACCACTGCCCGACTATCCCCACTGTCCCCACTGTCCCACCGACTCCGCCGCTGTCCCACTGAGCTGTCCCACTGTTCCCACCACTGTCCCCACTGTCCCCACCACTGTCCCCACTGTACCTCTGTCCCATTGTCCCACCGCCGTCCTCGCCACCGCCTTCACCCTGTCCCCACCACCATTGTACCCTCCACTGTCCCATTGTTTCCACCTCATTCCCACTGTGCCCACACCACTGTCACCACCACCACCGTCCCCACCACTGTCCACTGTCCCCCCTGTTCCCACCATTGTCCTCACCACTGTCCCCACCACTACCGGCCCTCTACTGTCCCACTGTCCCACTGTCCCCACCACTGTCCCGCTGTCCCCTCACCACTGTCCCACCAACACCGTCCCCACCTCTGTCCGCACCCCCACTGGGTTTTCGAGAGGGGGGGGGGGGGAGGGGTTCGAACCGGTAGTGACCCCCCCCCCCTTTTCATGATGAGCTGGGGGGGGGGGGAGGGGTTCGAACCGGTAGTGACCCCCCCCGGTTTTCCGGAGGGGGGGGGGGGGGGGGGAGGGGTTCGAACCGGTAGTGACCCCCCCCGGTTTTCCGCCAGCAGCGGTAGAACACGCTCTTTCGGATATCTTGAGCCATCTGGGAAATCATCTTTGGCTCTCCCAGGCGCTCTTGGAGTCATCTGAAGCAGTGCCCCCCCCAGGAGGCCAAAATGTGGCCAAACCCTCAGTAAAATCAACGATTTGGGCATTGTCGCCGAGGCCTCTTGGAGCGTCTTGGGTGCCTCTGGGGGGCCTCTGGGGGCCTCTTGGAGGTCTCTTGGAGGTCTATTGGGGGCCTCTTGGGGGCATCCTGGGGGCATCCTGGGGGCCTCTTGGGGTTCCTGGCCACCTCTTGGAGCCCTCTTGGGGCACCCTTGGGAGCCTTGGGGGCCATCTTTGGGCCATCTTGGGTGAGATCGATCACAGGAGGGGGTGTGTTTAATTAGGGCCCCCCCTCAGGAGAGGCCAACATGGGGCCAAAGCCTTAGTAAAACCAATGATTTGGGATTCCTCGCCGAGGCCGTTTTGGACGCTCCGACACCTCGCGAAACCCTTTGTCCAGGTCCATGGGGAGGGGGTAGGGGGAGGGGTAAACCCTTCCCCGAAGGGGAACAAGGAGGGGTGGAAGAGGAAACGCTCTAAACCACCGACGCCCAGAGGGCTGGTGGGATTATGTTGCATACGCAGCGCTCCCACGATGATCGCACAGCTTGGGCGAAACATGCGAATGGCATGAGTCAGGGGATCGCGGCAGCTCTAACTGATCCTTGCAGATATCAATTATTTACAACGACCGTGAGGATGATGGTGATGATGATGATGATGATGATGATGATGATGATGATGATGATGATGATGACGATGGTGATGATCTGGATGATGATGATGATGATGATGATGATGATGCTGATGATGATGATGATGCTGATGCTGATGCTGATGCTGATGCTGATGATGATGATGATGATGATGATGATGATGATGCCGATGAGGATGAGGTTGAGGAAGAGGATGAGGATGAGGATGAGGATGTTGATGATGAGTATGCTGATGCTGATGCTGATGCTGATGCTGATGATGATGATGATGATGATGATGATGATGATGATGATGATGATGATGATGATGATGGTGATGATGATGTGTTCTCTCGCTCCGCTGATGCACTTGGGCGCACGGGTGCACGGATGCTCGGCCCGCCTGGGAGTTGCCTAACCCAAGGGTGAGCTCGTTGGCTTAGCCTTCGCGGGTCAAAGCGCTACTACAGCATGCATCTGCATGTCGCTCGCTGGGAAGACGGCTGGTCGTATATTTCATCGTCTCGTCCCCCCACAGAAGGAGTTTTATTTTCACCTTCTCGCGGATACGTACGTCCGGATGCGTGCGCAGCGTTGTCTGGGCGCTGGTCGTTTCTTCGCAGCTGGGCCTCCCTTCAGGCCACGCGCGCCGGATGCTGTCTGAGCGTTACGCAGAATGCTTGTTAATGGCAACCGGTAGCCATAAAAGAAGTGTGATGTTCAAATCCGTTTTTGACAGGGATGCCATCCGGTAGAGCTGTTTGTTCACCTCGCTTTTGTTCCTGGGGGCACTCGAGAAGGGGTTCCTCCTGAGGGCCAAGTTCGGCCTGCTGAGTTGAGTCTGTCCACGAGTTCCCCCCCGGCCCGCCCCCCGTCGGGCCATCCACCAACTGCGATTGAATTTTGAGCCATGTATCCAGCGATTGCTCGTCCTTTGCCCTCGCCGTCATGTGAAGCGTCACCAATGGGTTCCAGCTTTCCCCCTCCCTCCTCCCTTCCTCCTTATCCTTTTCCCTCATTCGAGGGCCAAGTTCTGTTCTTCAGGTCAAGTCCTGTTATGCTGGCGCACATGGCGGGGTGGCGTCGGCTCGGCAGGGGAGAGCCGCACACATGCGGCTCAACGTATGGCTCTCTCTCTCTTCTCAGCTGCTCCCTGGAACAGAGTCGGCGCAGTCAGTGACGATGCCCCTCCGTCCCTCTCTCTCCCCTCCTCCCTCCTGTCATGTTCAATCTCTCCTCCTCATCCCTCCTCCTTCCTCCTGCGTCTCGCCCTGCACGCTTCAGCATGTGCCTTTTGCGGCCAGTGGAGGGGACCCCCCGGCGGGGGCGCCTTCAGAACGGTTTACATTATCTCGGGCGATGCCCCACGCAGGGGCCTTTTCACCTGACCCCTCAGTGGTTATCCATGTCTGGTATCCCCATTCGTCTTGGTCGTCTGCTTTTCTCTCATCCTTTCCGTTGTGGCGGGGAAGTATCCATATTCACCGCCTGGAGAGACGACGTCCTGTGACCCTAGCGAGCGGTGGATATGGATACTTTTTGACCCTAGGGGGCCAGAGTATTTCCATATACGTTATCTTTTTGGAAGAAATGCCCAAACCAGGGTTGGCCGCAGGTTGCCACAATATATCCATATACGAATCTAGTGGGAAGACTTGCCCTAACCGGGGTTGGCCGGACGGGGTTGGCTGGGAGGGTTGGCCAGGTAATTTGGGTTGACCGCGGGGTTGGCCGGGCTTCTGGTTGCAGGGGATGCTTGTTGCGTCACGACGTGTATACGAAGCCTTTCCATCGGAAGCGATCGTGCCAAATCATTGTCCTGATTTTCCTCGAAGTCTCAGGGACTGTCAACTTCCTCCTCTTCGCCCGCCTCGGGCGGCTTCTATTTTATCGTTGCCCTCCTCTTGTTGATCCTCCTCTACATCCTCGAGTTTCTACCCCCTCATCATATTTCTCGTCTTCTTTCCTCCCTCACCATTTTTGCGTCTGTGGAAGGCAGCTTTTGCGTTGCAGTTTCGGGCTCTCGCGGTGCGCGGATCTAGCGACGACGCCCCAGTTACTGGGCCAGAGCGTGATACACAAGTTGCACAGAAGTTACACAATCAATTATTTGGGAACCAATTGTTGGCATCATGCCTTGTTTCCACTGCACTTCGCGCTGCCAGCGTTGCTGTCAGGACGCTCACGCCAAGCGTGACGGTTCGCAGGAACCCGCATCGAATTACCAGCGATGCTGGCAGGAAGCTCACTCCGAGCGCGCTGGCGTGCTTATGATGCGTTCTGCATGGCCAGTACTTCTGCAGCGGATGCTGCCGATCAGCCCACGGCAGGCGAACCCGGCCGCACGCGATGATCATCACGTTGCCAGCCCTGATGCTGGGAAGCGCGCTCCCATCGTGCGCAGGCCCGCGGGGACTGCACATCGCATGGCCAGCGCTGCCGGCAGCAAGCTCTTCCCGAGTTTGCCGGCTCGCGAATGGCGCACGTCGCCTGACCATAGCGTCTGCCGGTGCCGGCGCTGATGCCGGGAAGCTCAGTCCGAGCGTGCCCGCTCGCCTCCAGCCCGCTTCTGGCTGCGCAAAGTCGGAGGCCTAAAGGATGACACCGGCACCAGTGTCGGCGGTGTGCCTCTGCCGAGGGAGGACGATTCCGATCTCCGTGGCGGTGGCAATAATTGCTCGGGCTTCCCAGGTGGCCGACAGATCACCACCAGCACCGCCATCCAGGATATCATCTTCCCTCGTTGGAGACACCCCCCCAGTGTTGGGATTGGTTCTGATTTCCAGGCCTCCTATGGAATGGTTGGCCTGGGTTGGCCGGGGGTTTTGGCGACGGCAGTGTTTGAATGAAGGATTTCCGGTGTGATCTATTCACCGCCCGCCGAGGTTGCACGATGTCAGTTCCCCAGGCCCCAGGCGATGAATACAGTGGAGACCCATGCCAAGAAGTACCCTGCATGCCTCCAGGGTGCCCCGTTGTTTGTTGGGTTTCGATGGTTTTGCGATGGAGAGTATGGCGTCCCCACACCAAAAGCAAGGGACGTCCTGGGCCTCCTTGGATTTCTTGTGGAAGGTTTCTTGTGGACTGGGCTCCACCGTATGGAGAAACCCTCGCCTCGCACTGGCCTTGTCCATCCCTCCCGCTCGCAAGGTGCACAGGGACGTCAAGCCCGAAAACATCATGGCCCTCTGCTGTTGCTGTTGCTGCAGCTTGCAAGGTGGAAGAGGAGGCAGAGCAGGACGACGAGAGAAAGGCGGAGGCGAAGGAACAAATGCAGGAGGAGGAGGAGGAGGAGGAGGCGGAGGCAGAGGAGGAGGAGGAGGAGGAGGAGGAGGAGGCGGAGGAGAATTGTCGCACCAACGTCACCAGTATTCAGTATGCTGGAGGAGGAGAAGGATCATCTCCCTCAGACCTGTTTGTTCCCCTTCTCCGTTTTATGACGAGTCTTCTCTCCCTCTCGTTCCCCGTCGGCTCCGCTCCACTCGCTCTGTTCCCTCTCTCCGTCCTTTCGTTTCTCTCCATCCTCGCCCTCTCCAGCAGCGGTCACGATGGTACTGCGCAGATCAGGCCTCCTTTCTATCCGCAGCGCTCCACGAGGCCTCTGTTGTGCTGCTGTGCCTTGCAGTCGATGCCACGATCACACCCAGCTGCCAACTCTGCACGACAAGCATGTGCTGCCTGTGCTGCGCTGCGCCTCCTGCCACCACCTGAGCGACGACAGACAGACGAGGCCGTTGGCGCCGACATTGGCGCGCAAGCTGCCCGCGTAAGGGCGCGCGCAAGCGCCCTCGTCTCCAATGTAGAGCGTGCCGCTCTGGCGGCCCGCGTGAGTCACCGCGTACAGTGCCGTTTTTTATACATGCTCCGCGTGCGGATCATGTTTAAAAACAACGATGAGTTCATGCGTACATCTAATACTAAATGAATCATGTATTAAAATGTTTGTTTAAAAATCATATGTATTAAAACACTGCCGCGTAAGGTCGCTACGTCATCTCGCGTAAGACCGCTTTTTGATCGTCGCACACCTGGCCCTCCACACCGCCGCCCCGCCCCGCACCCTCCCGCCGCTCGGTCGTCGACAACGACGGGGAGGCCGGGGAGGAGGGGGCCGACGACGAGCTGACAGTCAAGCTGATCGACTTCGGCTTCGGCTGCCGGATACTGTCGGCCCGTTGGGTGGGGAAATTGTGTTGCTCGGCCAGCGGTCACCGACCACAGGAGGAGGAGGAGGAGGAGGAGGAGGAGGAGTGGGCATGAGGAGGGGGAGGGTATGGAGGAGGAAGGAGGAGGAGAGAGGAGGAGGGAGGAGGAGGGAGGAGGGGGAGGGACGAGGGAGGAGGAGGAGAGAGGAGGATAGAGGAGGAGGGAGGACGGGAAGGAGGGGCGGGCAGGTAGGAAGAGCGGGACGAGCGGCGCAGCCGAGCGTCCACGAGGCGAGCCCAGAAGTCGGAGCAGAGCGAGCCAAGACAGCGGTGGTCGGCCTCGGGGGGTTTGGAGGAGAGGGCCCGGCGCCACGCCTGGCCGCAGCCTGGACGGCCAGCGTGTTCAAGGTGCAAAAAAATGAGAACATATCTTTTAGACAAAATAAGACAATAAAAAACATTCCGTGCTGAAGCAACGGCAGATCACAAGCAATATTCTTCCGACCCGAGTATCGCGACGTCGAGCGTCGGTTGCTCTCATGAGGACTCGGAAAACACTGAACGAACACATCACAAACGGACACGCGCGGGGGGGCTAACTCTACACTGCGTTCTGTAGGGGCCACATGCGAACCCTACCCCTACCCCCCACGATTTCTGGGGGGGAGGGTGAAATTCCCCCCCCTCAGAAATCGAGGGGGGGAGGGGGAGTCCATGAACAAGGAACCTTGGCAGACCCGTCCCCCGAAGGGGCAGGAGGGGGGCTGGAAGGGGACGCGCTCTGGACCGCCTCCGCCCCGACGGCCGCCGGGGTGCCCCGGGAGCCCAGAGCGCAGCCAGCCTCTCGGCGGGCGGCGCCCCAGGAGGCGGACCTTGGCTGCTCTCTCCGGTGGCTAGGGCTCGTTAGTCGGCCCTGCGTTTGTGCGCGCTGCCCGCTGCATGGGGCCTGTGAGCGTGCGCCGCTCCGGGCTCGAAGTTTCCTTGAGGCTCTGGTTGCGTTTGCTCGTCCGGTCGGCGTCTTCCCGCGCGGGCGCGCCGAGCCTCGCTCTGCGTCGGGCTGGCCCGCCTGCGTGGCCTCGCCGAGGGCCGCTTCGGCGGACGCGAGTGCTGAGGGTCGTGGGCCCTGGCTCCCTCCCGCCTCCTCCCCCCCTCCCCGAGCCCCGAGCCCGTGGCCGCTTTGGCCCGAGCGCCCCGCGGCAGAGGAGGCGCCGGGGCGCCGGTCGCCCTTTCCGTTGGCGGCCGGGCGTCGGCACCGATGGCGGGCGCCGCCGCGGCGCGTTCTTCCACCCAGCGGGCGCCCACGCCTCCGCGCGATTCGCCGGAACAGGGGGGCATTTTTTTAGCACGCGCCCGATCTCTTGTGGAAGCCACGTGCTGACATGGTGGAAGTGCGCCGGACAGCAGACTTCAGAAGGGGGCGCGGAGTGGGAGAAGGAGGAGGGCTGCGTTCAGGCCTCCTTGTCCACCTCCTCCTCTTCCTCTTCCTCTTCCTCTTCCTCCTCCTCCTCCTCCTCCTCCTCCTCCTCCTCCTCCTCCTCCTCCTCCCCCTCCTCTTTAGCGCCTGAACGACATCGGGCCTCCTCCTCCCCTCCTCCTCCTCCTCCTCCTCCTCCTCCTCCTCAGCACCTGAACGACATCAGGCCTCCTCCTCCTCCTCCTCTTTGTTCTGCCCGTCCTCTTCCTCGAGAACGGGTGATTGTGGAGTCCCTCGCTCTTTTCATCTAGTTGTTATTGAGTGAAACGCTTCTCTGCCCTTCAATTGTGATAGATGTTTTGACATGTTTGCATTTCGCCGTGATCCTCTTCCTTTCGTTATCCTTCTCTCTCTCTCTCTTTCTCGCCTTCTCGCTCTCCTCCACCAGCTTCCCCTCTCTCAATACCTTTATTTTTTTTGTTTCGTCCTCCCCCCCCCCACCCCCCAAACGGAAAAACACATCGGCGGCGCGGCTTCCCTTTTTTTGTTTTTTCTTCCGGAGGGGGGGGGTCGTATTGAAAGAACTGATTGAATCTGCTCACAGAAGGATTTCTATTGAATCCGTCCACAGAAGGATTTTAATAGAAGCTGTCCACAGAAGAATGTCTATTGAAATCCTCCACAGAAGGATTCCTACCCGGCGAAAAAAATCCGACGTGACCTCATTTGCCCTCACCCCTAGAAGGATTCCCATTGACCGCCCCCAGAAGAAGGATTTATAGTGAAATCCTCTACAGAAGGATTCCGATCGAAACCCTCCACTGAAGGATTCCTATGGGAATCCTCTACATGGATTCCTACAGTCCTCGTAAAATTTAACCTCAAACATGTCCTACGTGGCTGAACCGTCTGTGGGGAGATACTGGACAGAGTAGCGAGACTGCGAGGTGCTTGTGCGCGCCGCCCCTCCAATGTTGGTCATCATCGAACTTCCGAGTCATTCCCGGTCAGGCCACTTTTGCCTTGGCCCCGACATTGGAGGGGCGTATATCGACATTGAGGGGCGCGCCGACATCGCGGGGACGCGGTCGCCATTTTTGAAGTTGATTTTGACAGGGCGGTAGTGAAATCACACGCAGAAATATTGCTATTGAGATGCTTCGAAAGAAAGACCCCCCCATTGGCATTGCATTGGCATTGGATTGGCAATGGTTTGGCATCGCATTGGCATTGCCTTGGCATTGCGCTTGGCAGTGCGTTGGAATTGCGCTTGCATTCCGCAAGCATTGCGTTGGCGAGTCCTAATAGAACCCTCCACAGAAGGACTCCCATTGAAACCCTCTACAAGAAGGACTCCGATTGAAACCCTCCACAAAAAGGGTTCATATTGACACCCTCCAAGGAAGGATTCTATGCGAAGTCCTCTATATATGCATTCCGATGGAAATCTACCACAAAGGATGGCCCCAATTGGCACTGTTTTGGCACTGGATTGGGATCGCCTTGGCATTGGTCTGGCATTGCGTTGGCACTGCTTTGGCATTGCGTTGGCAGTGCGCTGTCGAGTTCCAATGCCTCACTTCGCAGAATGATTCCTATTGAACCCCCCACAGTAAGGATTCCGGTTGAATCATTCCACAAGAGGGGTTCATAGTGAATTTCTTCACGAAAGGATTCCATGCGAAGCCGCCATAGAAGGATCCCAACTCAGACCGACCACAAACGATTCCCCCACTGGCGTTGAATTGGCATTACATTGAGATCGCCTTGGCAATGGCTTGGCATTGCGTTGGCATTGCGCTGGCGAGTTCGAATGGCTCCCCCCACACAAGGACTCCCAGTAGAACTTTCCACAAGAAGGGATTGATCCTTTTGAAAGCCCTCACACGAACGATTCATACTGAAACCTCCACAGAAGGATTCCAGTCGAAACCTTCCACAGGAGGATTCCTATCGAAATCCACCGAAGAAGGAACCGTAACCAAATCATTCACAGAAGGATTCCTATTGAACGCTGTTGAAAGACAGGAATCCCGCCATCGGCATTGCATTGGCATTGGTTTAGCGATGGTTTGATATCGCATGGGCGTGGCGATGGCATTGCGTTGGCAGTGCGTTGGCGTTGCGCTGGCATTGCGCAGGCGAGTCCTGATCAAACAGTGCACAGAAGGATTCCAAATGAACACCCCCACATGAAGGATAGCTTTTGGATCCCCCCACAGGGATCCACATTGAACTCCTCCACAGAAGGGTTACATGCGAAGCCCTCCACTGAAGGCTTCCAATTGAAATCCCCCGAAGAACGGTAGAAGGTTCCCTCTGTGGATGGCATCATCCACATAAAGGTTCTTAGACAGTTTGCGATTGAAATCTACCACATACGATTCCCCCCATTGGCGCTACACTGGCAGTACATTGGCATCGCCTTGGCATTGGTTTGGCATTGCGTTGGCACTGGTTCGGCATTGCGCTGGCGAGTTCTAATGGTTCCCCCCACAAAAGGGCTCCGACTAAAACGTTTCACCTTTCACAAGAAGGGATCCTTTTGAAACCCCCACACGAAGGATTCATGTTGAACCCCCCCTACAGAAGGATTCCAATCGAAACCCTCCACAGGTTGGATTCCCTCAGGGATATACCAGAATAATGCCCCCGTATAGCATTGCATTGGCATTGGATTGGGATCGCCTTGGCATTGGTTTGGCATTGCAATGACACTGCTTTGGCATTGCGCTGGCGAGTCCAAATGGCTCCCTCCGCAGACGGACTCCTACTGAGACCCTCCACAAGACGGATTTTTATTGAATCTTCCCACAAGAAGGATTCCTACCGAAAATCTCAAAAGGAGGATCCCTATCGAAACCCTCCACATGAGTATTCCTATTGAACTCCCCCGAAGAAGCATTCGTAATGACATCATCCACAAAGGATTCTTATTGAAATCCGCCGATCTAAAGGATTCCCCCATTGGCAGTGCATAGGCATTGGCATTGGTTGGCGATGCATGGCCTGGTGCAGGAGATGGACAAAGAGAGACAAAGAGAAAGAGAGAGAGAGAGAGAGAATACGAGAGACAGATTTTGCGAGAGAAGAGCACTATGAGGGGATCACGGCGAAAAGAAGCATGACCAACAATCAATCACAGTTTAAGGGTGAAGGAGCGTTCCATTCGATACAAAAACACATATGAAAACGACGAGGGGCTCCACAATCCCCCGGCCTCGAGAACGGGTGCCTCCTCCTCCTTCTCCTCGTCATCCTTTTCCTTTTCTTCCTCCTCTTCCTCCTCCTCCTCGTCCTCCTTCTCCTCCTCCTCCTCCCCCGCCTCCTCCTCCCCCCTCCTCCTCTTTCTTCTCCTCCTCCTCCTCCTCCTCCTCCTCCTCCTCCTCCCCCTCCTCCTTCCCAAATGCGGCCAGCGGCCCCGAGGAACTGCTCAATGGCGGCCCGCTCGCAGACCTGGCAGTTTGGTCAGTGATCCTCCCCCTCCTCCTCCACCACCTCCTCCTCGTCCTCCTCCTCCTCCTCCTCGTCTCCTCCGCCCCCCCTCCTCCCCTCGTCCTCCCCCTCCTCCTCCTCCTCCTCCTCCTTTCCTCCTCCTCCTCCTCCTCCTCCTCCTCCTCCTCCTCCTCCTCCTCCTCCTCCTCCTCCCCCTCCTCCTCCCCCTCCTCCTTTCTAGAATGGTTTTTCGTATCTCGGGCGCCCTTCGATGGTCCCTGAGCCTCCTTCTCCTTCTCCTCCCCCTTCTCCTCCTCCTCCTCCTCCTCGTCCTCTTCCTCTTCCTCTTCGTCTTCCTCCTGCTCCTTCTCCTCCTCCTCCGCCTCCTGCTCCTCTTCCTCCTCCCCCCCTCCTCCTCGTCCTCCTCCGCCTCCTCCTCCGTCTCTCCTCCTCTCTCTCTCCTCCTCCTCCCTTTCCCCTCCTCCTCCGCCCCCTCCTCCCCCTCCTCCTCGCCTTCCTCCTCCTCCTCCTCCTTTTCTCCTCCTCCCCCTCCCCCCTCCTTATTTCCATCCTCTTCCTCCCCTTCCCCCTCCTCCCCTCTTCCCCCCCTCCTCCTCCTCCCCCCTGTCCTCCTATTCAGCCTCCGCCTGCTGGCTCCTCTTCCAGTTCGCCTGGAGCCAAGGGGCCACTGGTCGGGCGGGCTGGGGCCCGCTCTTCCTGCCCGGGCGGGACCAGCCAGGCTTCCCCGGGCGCCCCCCTAGGAAGGGGGGAGAGGAAGGGGAGAGGAGAGGGGAGGAGGAGAGGGGAGAGGGAGGGTTGAGGGGAGAGGGAGTGGATGGGGAGGGGAGCGGGAGGAAGGAGGGAGGGGAGGAGGAGAGGAGTGGGAGGGAGGACCATGGGGGAGGAGGGAGGAGAAACGAGAACGGACGGGAAAGAAGGGCGGGGAAGGAGGAAGGGGGGGGAGGAAGGGGGGGCGGGGGGGGGGGGGGCATGCTAGGTGCGCTCGCGTCATATCTGACGTCCTACCCCTCCCTCCCATCCCTTACCATGGCGTAGGTCTCCTTTCTATTCGCACAGTCGGAGGTCGCAGCGTGGCATAGCATTACATGGCACATCATGGTGTTGAGGATCAACGCGTAGCATGACATAGCAAGTCGTGTCGACGCCACACAGTGGCCAAAAACATCAACGAATCCACACCGAATGTGTAATCACTTCCGATGGTTTTTGTCGGGGGGCATTTTTCTAGTTTTTGACCTTATTTGGAAGGACCGAAAACCATGCCGTGGCATGGATGACGCCAGCGCTGCAGCGGGAGCACGATTCGGAACGAGCGGAAGCGCGGAAATGATGCCAGCGCTGCAGCGGAAGCACGATTCGGAACGAGCGGAAGCGCGGACATGAGCCCATCGCTGCAGCGGGAGCACGATTCGGAACGAGGCGGAAGCCCGAAAATTAAACCAGCGATTCAGCGGGAGCAGCATCTTGAAAAAAACAGCGAACATCCAGTTCTTTGGAATCCTGTGTGTAAAAAACAGTACGCTGAGGGGGGCCAGATATTTCCCGGACGTCATCAGGGGAGAGAGGAGAGTCTTATTCATATTGTGTAATTGTGGATGGAGGAGGGTGCAGGACGAGGCGGAGGTGGACGAGGAGGAGGAGCAGGATGGGAAGGGACGAGGGGCAAGGGGGATATGATGATGCTATGCTGCTGCTGCTGCTGCTGCTGCTGATGCTGATGCTGATGCTGATGATGATGATGTTGTTGTTGTTGATGATGATGATGATGATGATGATGATGATGATGATGATGATGAGAACCAAGACGAGCAGCCGGATGACAACGCGGAAGATGATGTACACCGTGAGGTGCGCTCATCACACGGAAGAGGCACGCATCTATTCGCCAGGCTCCACCCACCGCTCCTCGAAGTGATTGCCATTGCCTCTCCCCGGACCCCCGGACCCTGCAATCGCCCCGCACCGATAGGCCCGCGTTCTGGGATCAACGGTGCCCTGATTAGGGGGCCACATGCGAACCCTACCCCTACCCCACACGATTTCTGAGGGGGAGGGTGGGGTTCACTCAGAAATCGTAGTGAAGTGATCCCCACCCTCCCCCTTTAGAAATCGTGGAGGGTAGGGGTAGGGTTCGCATGTGGCCCCCTACTGATGTCCTCCGAGGGCCCCCTTCCGTTGCCTTTGCACGTCCTCGCGGCTTTGCGCCACGGTGCCCCCATCGGGCAAGTGTGGCGTCCCCTCCGGCGTGCTCTCGTGCGCGCGCGCCCCGACGTCCCCGACGCACAGACGAGAGAGGAGGCTGGGAACGGGGCGGTACGGTAGCTTCGCGTCGTTTCTTACCAGCCTGGGACATATCCCTATCCCTAAGATTGACACGCCAAAAGGCGATGACAATCTTAGGGATTCGCCCTCAAAAAATAAGGGAATCCCTAAGATTGGCATCGTGATGAGGAGGTGCCCAGCATAGGGATAAGGATATGTTCCAGGCTAGTAAGTTTCGACGGGCAGCGACCTTGACGCCGGCGTCCAGCGTTGAACGCCGCCGGCCACCCAGAATTGGTCGATGTTCACCGAGCGCGTTCCACTACTCGCAAAGTGCCTACTCGCAGACGTCACCAACAACGAGCGATGTTCGATGCAATGGCGCCGGTCTGCCTCGACGCAATGGATCCAGGCTGCTTGCGAGCAGCTACTCTGCGAGTAGTGGAGCGCGCCTGTTCAGGTGTGGAGCGATGGGACGCGTCGGCAACGGCCGGTCGTTCCAGGCCTGACGGTCCCCGCGGTGGCAGAGGGCGGCGCAGAGGCCGGCACGGCGCGAGCGCCGCAGCGGCAGCCGCCAGGCCTGCCGCTCCGCAGCCAGGGCGTCGGCCTCGGCGCGTGGCCGGCCGTCGCGGGCGCTGGGAGGCGCCGCCGGCACGAGCTGCCGACGTGCGGAGGCGACGGTCGGGGCGAATAGCCCAGGGGGGAGCAATACACGAACTCAGGTGCGCCGATGAGCTATGTCTTCGAAAAGGCCCCCTGGGCGAATGCGTGTAGTGCCCGCCCCTGGGCTGTTCGCCCCCACCGTCGCCCCCGAGGCGTGAGCTGCCGTCTCGAAGAGCCTCCCACTCAGGCAGTGGCGAAGCGTCCTGGCTCGCCCAGAGGCCCACCAAAGAATGCTCTGAGAGCCTTCTGCGGTCTGCTCGAACTGTTCTTAGAACATTTCTGGCTGAGACCATCTTGTTTTCACACATCGGGCTTATGTTCTAAGAACATTGCTTTGATTCTTAGCACACTTTGGGGTTCTTAGAAGATTTCGTGGTAGGCCTGAGGGAATGCCAGGACGGTCGGTCCCTGCTCAACCCACAGCCCCGTCCTTCGGTAGCAAATCACGGGAGCATGGTATGCCATTTTTATTCCGTCTTTGGCGTCGACTAGTGTCGATTAGCATTTGGGAGTCATGAGATGCGTCGATTTAGCGTCGGTTAGCGTCGACTAGCGTCGATTTAGCGTCGATTAGCGTCGACTAGCGTCGACTCGCAAGTGCCGACAAGATGGTGTTGGAGGCTCCCATAGTTGCCACCGAGCCGTCCGAGGCACATTTCAAAGGTTTCTGTTGTTTTCTTTAACACAGTGGAAACACCCATCTCGAGGAACATCTTGCTTGCCTCCAGGGTGCCCTGGGTGTCTTGGGTTTCGCTGGTTGTGTCATGAAAAAAGCGTGGCGCTCCCACGCCACAGAATCAATGGACGTCGTTCTGGGGCCTCAGGGTCGGGCTTCTTGACGGTTCATTGCGGTCGAGCTCCTACTGCACGCCCCCCTCTCGTCCGCCCCGCGTCTCGCAGTGGGCCCCTCTCGAATGCCTGAGTCCTGCGGGCCAGAGTTCATCGAGAATACGAGAACCCTTAACCCTAATAACACAGTGAAGACGTGGCCTCACTGAGGTTCCCGTCCTTGCATTAGGGATAACAATCTGGGCGGTTTAGTGCGATACACCTGCAGAAAAGAGCCCCTTATCCCTAATATTCTTGGCCCCCCTAACTTAGGCTCCCTCCCAAAGGGTTAAGGGCATTTTTATTGCTCATCGTCTGGGGTCTCAGGGTTGGGTTTCTTGGGGAAGGGTTTCTGTGGTCGAGCTCCTGCTGCATGCCCCGCTCTCGCCCGCCCCGCATCTCACAGCGCACCCCTCTCGAAGGCTCTTGTGTCATGCGGGCCGGAGCGGCCCCTCAGGGCGTGAGGCTGCGGGCCAAGGTCGGCAGCTTCCTCTACAACGCGCCGGAGGCCCGACCCTCCGCACGGATCGGGGCTCGAGAGACGAAGGTCACAGTGCAAACGGGGGTCAGCCAGAGCGCCGGATCTTGCAGGATCCTGCGAGGCCAGGGGCGCACTGACCCGGGCTCGGGTGCAGGATCCTGCAAGATCCTGCAGCGCCCGACTGGCCCGGGTCTGCATCGGGGTCAGTGCGTCCCCGAGCAGATTCTTGCTGACTGCGAGCCCGAGCGTGACTTAAGTTGCCTGTCCTTCCGACTCCGTGGGTCAGTCGTATGACATGGATCAGTCGCCCTTGAGATGCGAGAGGTTCGTTCGTGTGAGACGTTCTCGTAATCTGTCGGTTTCTCCCTTCATGTGGCGGCTTCCGTGCGACAGCCACCCAGGAGGAGGAGGAGGAGGAGGAGGAGGAGAGGATATTTGGATGTGTGCTATGTTGTGCTCGTGTGCTCTCTCTTCCGCGTGACGATTTCCGGGCGGCGATCGCAGCATGTTGATGCCTGATTTTCCCGGCGTGCGCGGTTTGTCCCTCCGCGTGGGCCGTTAACTCCGGGCGGCAGCCTGCCAAACAACATGTTGATGTGCAATGTGTTATGTTTGCGCGATTTACCTCCCGTGGCGCTGACCTCCCATAGTAGAATTCTGATGTGCAATATGTCTTGGTGGTGCGGTTACCTTCCGTGGGCCTCCGGGCGGCCGCCTCCGAGAGCAGAATTCGAATGATCAATTTGTCTTGTTTACGCGGTTTCTCCCACCGTGGCGACGACCTCCACGCGTAGAGCTCTCATGTGTAATTTGCCCTGCTTCATCCGGGTGGCAGTTTCCAGAAGCAGAGCTTGAATGCGTAATGTGTTTTTTTGCGTGGTGTCTCTCATTGCCTGCGGTTGCTGGTCATTCTTCCTGGAAGTAGTTGTAGTGTGCAGTTTATCTTGATTGCGCAATTCTCCTTCCGTGATACAGTTTCTGGGTGGCCGCCTTCGGGGCAGAGTTTAATGTTTAAGTGTTGCGCGACCGGCCCATCGTGAGTACAGAATTTGTGCGGGAAGTCGGCCTAATCGTAAGAACATGTTGCTGTCGAGCCGCACGAACAGCGCAGAAGTTTTGATCGAACGGCGCGGATTTAAATGTTGCACAGACGGCGCGCGCCAATCGTTCAAACAGAGTAACGTTGAGCGTAATTGCAGGGGCGTGTATCGAAGAGCCATATAATCCCACACATTTCCCAACCTGTGCCTGCACTGTGGGGATCTTGTTTCATGTCCTAACGAACTGGAACGTGTCTTCGGTCTGGCGGCTATGTGGCTGCCGTCGCCGCCCAGTCGCCGCGTCGTCGCCGAATGTCGTTCAGGCCGTGTCTTCGGTGTGGCGGCTATGTGGCCGCCGTCGCCGCCCCGTTGTCGCCTCGTCGTCGCCCGTCGTCTGGGCCTGTTTGTCGTTCTGGCGGCGATGCGGCCGCCGTCGCGGCCCCGTCGCCGATTGTGGCAGCCCAAGACTGCACAACAGACATGGCACCGCAAATATTGCACCGCATAGATTGCACCACATAGGTTGCACCACATAGCTTGCGCAGCATATATTGCACCACATAGATAGCACCACTTAGTTGTCACCACATAGAGGACACATCCAATATTGCACCACATAGGTGGCACTTTTTATAGATTGCACCACATAGAACATAGATGGCACCACATATATATATATATATATATATATATATATATATATTGCACCACAACAACTGCACCATATAGCTCACATACCTTTTATTGATCCGCATCTATTTCGCCACATGGATTGCGCAGCAAATGTTGCACCACACAGGGTGCACAACACATACTGCACCCCATATATGGTACTACGTATATTGCGCCAAACAGATTGCACCACAAAGGTTACATCACATAGATGCACACACATCTTGCACATATAGGGCATCGCTTCGACTGCACCGCATAGCTTTCACACCAGATCTCAAGCAGCATAGAGTCGCCACATGGGCTGCACAACAGACGTGGTACCACACAGGGTGCGCAGCAAATGGTTCACCGCACAGACTGCGCCACACCGACGGGTAAACACTTGCGCAGCACACGGCCTGGATCGCACGACGCAGATTGCACACCGTCGATTGCTCGAAACACGCTGTTCGGGGTCTGCATTGGACGACACGTGTGCACACATCTGTGTGTACAGCATCGGAGGTCCGCGCCGAGCGCTTGTGTCCGCCCAGGCTCCTGGCGGCGCTCCTGGCGCCGCCAGGGGGGGGGGGGGAGTCCAGCGCCGGCCCAAGGTACACGCGCGGGCCTTCTAAAGGATCCAACGGATACGTTTGTGTGCGTGCGCGTGTGTATCTATACACTTATATATATATATATATATATATATGTATGTATATATACATGAGTCTATACGTTTTCGTATACAATTATATACACACCCACATATATATACATACATATTCACATACATCAATGCATACATATTTTAACACATACATGCACATATACGTACACAATGTGTGTATACATATATATATATATATATACACATATACATATTTACATATATAGACATATAGACATATATATATATATACATACCCACACGTCTTCGTTTTGTTGTGTTCCCCTTGATTGTCCTGGCTGGCTGGGGGCCCGACAGCGAAGCAGCGTGGACTTGTGGGGGCAGCGGGCTCCCGAGCCTCCCCCCCCCTTCCTTTTCCCCTCGTCCCAGTCTGCGCCCGTTCCAGCCCCACGATCGGAGGAGGGGGACCGAGCGCCGAGCACGCAGGGGAGGAGCACGGAGGGAAGGCGGCAGGACCCCCCCCAACTCTCCATCCCTTGCCTCTCGCACCTTGCGCCCCCGTGCTCCCCCGTGCTCCTCATCCTCCCATCTCCCCCCTCGTGCTCATTCTCCCATCTCCCCCTCCCGTGCTCCTCCCATCTCCCCCCCCCGCGCTCTATTCCCCTCCCATCTCCCCCCCCCGTGCTCCTCATCCTCCCTTTCCGCCTGTGGCGCGCAGGCGCTCCGCGCCGAAGCACGCATCAGGGCAATGGCCCAGCTTGTGCAGGTCTGGTTCAACAGCACGTCGTTGAGCGGTGCTGCAGCCTCCCTCGAGTACAGGCCCCCCCCAGAGCATCAGCCAGACAAGTCGGGTTCGCACCCTGAAGCTTGGCTGGACTCTGGGCGCTTTTCGGCACTGCCACTGCCCCGCTCAACGACATGCTGTTAAACCGAACCTGCAGGGTGAGCCCTTTTCCTCATCCGTGCTTCGGTGCGGATCGTCTGCGCGTCTGGTCTTCTTCGTCGTCGTTGTCGGCGTCATCGTGGTCGTGGTGCGTGTTGCTCTTCTCGGGATGGATTTCATCATGCAGTGACCATCACCACCGTCCACCTGCGCTGGTAGTGCAAGTGATAGTTTCCCCCTTGCTCTTCCACTCGGGACCTCTGGACCTGCAGCCAGCAGGGGCCAGTGAATCGCCCAGTAGGCCTCGCCATTCTCTGCATATTTGGTGTTATGTGTTGCTTTTTTTTCTCTCTCTCTCTCTCTCTGTCTTTCTCTCTGTCTCTCTCCTAGGAAGACCACCATCCCATAGCTTTCAACAACATGATCGCATGTTGGGCTTAATGTGTGATGTGTTACTGGTCCTCTTCTGTATTACGTATCCCGTGCACATGTGAATAACTCCATCCCGAGAAGAAAGAGCCAGCATCCAGAATCACCAGCCCCGGTACCAAGGCACACACACACGCACACGCACACCATGGTTGGGTGTGGTGGGTGATCGTCACCTTCCAGCGAAAGATGCCATTCGTACACATTTACCGACACGACTAAAGTTGCCACCCAAATATATTATTCCATGGTTTGAGTTGCGCCCACCCATGTTTGAGACTCCCAGCGACATATCCTCACCCCCTGGCCAGGCATGCTGTTCCCTCCGCCACACGACATGTTCTCAAACCCAGCGGAAATTCAGTCATTCTCTCCGCCAGCAGGTCAATTAGTCAGTCAGCCAGCCAAGTAGCCCCGTCAAAATTGAGATACGGATTGATGCCGTAAAGCGTATTGCGACTTGGCGTTTTGAGAAGAGGGCCGCCGATGCCATTGATCCCAGTTGTTGCTTCTTCAGTGCAAACTCGAGCTCGAACCGACAACCTCGAAGCCGCATCTCTCTTTGCGAAGACCTGCTTCTGGAGTTCCCTGTTGTGCACGGCCCACTCGGCCTTGAGGCCCTCCTCTCATCCGGGGAGAAAGGGAAAAGTCGAGGAACAACAACTTTCATCATAGCAGACATCCAGAGGTCGGCACGGATTTCTTGGATCGGCGCTGGGCCCCCTGGCGGCGCCTCGGGCGCCGCCCCTGGCACGCTCCGCGCGCCAAGGAGGGGGGCCAAGTGAACAAATCCTCGCGGAACTCTGAAAGTTTGTGTCTCCGTTTGTTGCTCCAAACTTGTTCTTCCAGAAGGGCAATTAGGGGCCACGATTAGGCGGAAAGGCATTTGGGGGGTACAGCGACCCCCAATCGCCCATTGATCGCGGATAGGAGCCCGATAGCCCCCGACCCGCTCAGGAAGCTGCGGTTTCGCTATCGGGGGCCTGTCGCCGATCTATCGGCGATGTATCGCCGATGCCAGGTCGATGCATCCCCCCTATGCCAGTCCCTCCCTATCGTCGCCCCTCGGGGAATGGGGGAGCGAATCTGGAGCAGCCGCCTGGCCGTCGGTGACCGTCCAGCCTGGCTCGCACGCGGGGGTCTGGGGTCTGGTGACCGCCGGGAGCCCAAGCGCGGAGACCCAAGAGTCCAGACGCGAGTGGGAATCCTTCCTCCCAGAGCCCAGCGGGAGCAGGACGACCTGCCCGACCTTGATTTGCACGGCGAGCTTTTTTCACAGGGTTAAGTCGGGCCTGTCTCCCTACGGGGGGATGTTGGACGAAAAATAAAAAAAATTCAAACCAATATGGAAAAGATGCCCAAAAATACCCAAAACATAGTCCCCTGATTATTTGTTTGTCAATGTGTAAATCTTCCCCCGTGTAGAGGGACAGGCCCGACTGAATCATAGGGGGGGGCCCTGCCGCTGGCCCACGGTGCGGTTGGCTCGGGGCCGCGCCGTGGAGGCAAGAAGGTCCTCTCCGAAGGGCCCCCCCCTTGAGGGTTTTTTTCGGCGGGGCCGTCGGACCTCGCCCTCCTCTCTCTCTCTCTCTCTCTCCCTTTGCGGCGTGCGATCCTCCCAGAATCCGATGAAGGCATCTATACACCACCACCGTGCCAGACCAGGGCCATCCTGGGCCCCAGGATGGTGTATAGACCCTCTTGACCTCGGCCAGGAGGGCGTATACACCATCCTGGGGCCCAGGATGGCCCTGCCTTGGCACGGTGGTGGTGTATAGATGCCTTCTGCGAACAGAAGCATCCGCCCCCCCAGCGCTGTGGAGGGCGATCAATGGAGAGGAGGCATGTTGCCAATAATTTCCAGATGTCTAAAGCATGTATTAACCATGTTTTAAACATGTAAAAGCATGTTTAAACCATGCTTAGAGATTTTTCCTACATTCAAAACACATTCCAAATTCAAGGACAGGGCTGTTAGGGTGTCCACTGTCGTGGCATCCACAACCCTAGCGCTTCTTGAATTAGCTTGTATCCAGTGGCCTTCGGCCCATCCCGCCTTCGTGTCCGGGTCATGGGCCAGAGGCCTCCCAGAGGTCGCTCGGGGTCTCGAGAGGGCGTGTGTGGCCCTTCTGGGAGCCTCTCTCGGGAGCCGCTTCTGTAAACATCGTTGGTACCTCCAAGGTGTGCCTTGCGTTCATGCGTTTTCAGAGTTCACGCTCCTGGAATTTCACCGCACGCTAAATCGTCTGAGTGGAACGTCAGTTACATCAGCTGGGTTTTTGGCTCATCAGCAATCAGCTCGCGAGCGGTCAATCTCTTGGCTTGCGGAAGCCGCACCTGGGGGGAACAAATGTTGGCAATGTGTGTTTGAGGGCACTGGATATTTTAGAGAATGTGGCAAAGTTGCTTGCTGAGCTATTTTCATGGCGCTGCCCTCTTGAGAGGGTCGGCCGATGACAGGCATCTCCTTTTGGGCTCGGGTTCTCTGGGCGCCACTTGCAATAATACCGTCAACAATAGATCATTGGGAGAGAAACCACAACCAGAGCGACAGAGATAGGGCAATCCGGTGTTGGTAGAGGACTCCCCCTCGAGGAAAACATTTCTCATAGCAAGGCTTCGGGTTGCGCACAGACAACACCCCCAGGTAGTCCCAGCTGGCCTCAACTCGCCCGCGGAGCAGTCGTGGACGGCCGCAACGTCCCAACCCTGGGGTTAAGTCGGGCATGTCCCTCCACAGGAGGAATATTGAAAATTAGCCCAAAAATAGTCAGGGGATTATTTTCAGAGGTTTTTGCGGGCCATTTGGGAGTATTTTTGGGGTGTATGTATTATTTGTCGTCAAAAATCCTCCTGTGGGGGGACACGCCTGACTTAATCCTGGGGAGCCGACCACCCCAGAGGTGCCGCCTGAGGCGGCGCCGGGGCGTTGAGACCTCCCTGGGCCACGCGGGGGGCCTGCTGAGGCCCAGCCAGGACTACCTCGGCGGGCTACCTGTGCGCAATCCGGAGCCGTACCATGCCCTGCAACTTCGAGGAGGACGTTTGTGTCAGCTTCCTTGTTTCCCCTACCCTGAGATCCGACGGCAGTGTCGACCCCAGACAGTGAGTTCTGTGGGAGGTGGAATGTATGCGTTGTGAGCTATGTGGCGAAAGCTGCGTCGTGTAAGCAATCTGGTGTACGCTGTGCGGTGTGAGCCACGGAGGTGACAGCTATGCGGTGCCAGCTATGTGGTGAACGAACTGTCGCGTAAACTAGGTGGTGTGAAGAAGGGATGGCGGCCATGCGCTGCAGGCTGCGTGGTGTGAGAGCTACGTCGTGCCGGCAAAGCAGCGCAAGCTGTGTGGTGCAAGCTGTGCGGTGGAAGCTGTGCGGTGCAAGCTGTCTGGTGTCAGCTGTGTGGCGTGAGCTCGACGCACGGGTCGCCAGCGAGCTTCCACGAGACGGCACGGGCGGCCATGTCCCGAATCTCCAGGAAACCCGCGCGGCGGCAAGGGTCGCCCAGGAGGTACTCACGGGGCGGCACGGGCGGCACGGGCGGCGAAAACCCGGGGTAATTTTCCTCCTCCTCCTCCTCCTCCTCCTGCTCCTCCTCCTCCTCCTCCGCCTCCTCCGCCTCCTCCTCCTCCTCCGCGTCCTCCTCCTCCTCCGCCTCCTCCTCCGCCTCCTCTTCCTCCTCCTCCTCCTCCTCCTCCTCCTCCTCCTCCTCCTCCTCCTCATCCTCCTCTCCCCTCCCTCTGGCCCTCCCTCCCTCGCTCCTCGCTGTTCCTTTCCCGCCCTCTCCCACAGGCCCTCCCCAGCTTCCGTCAGAAATCGAAACAAGAACCCTTAACTGGAAGCACTGCTTGGGGACACCGCAACAGCACACCAAAAAAAATCGACCAGTGCCCTGGACCCAAAATTTCTTCGGCAGCGTTCGAGTTGGATCGATCTGTGAGGGTCGCAGGGCCCGAAACCGGGCAACAACGCCTGGTGTGAAGCATTGGCAGTGCCAGGATCTTAGGGTACACCCGATGCCCTCAGAAGGCCCAGCGCCGACCCAATAGCTTACGTTTATGCAGTTGTTCGTCCTTCCGCTGTTCTCCCTGCCCCCGATGCCATCGGAAGGTCCTGGCGGGCGAGGAGTGCGACGAGAAGCAGGACCTTTGGTCGCTGGGCTGCGTGCTCTACGTCCTGTTGAGCGGGGACATGCCCTTCTACGGCCCCGACAGCAAGAGCAGGAGCCAACGCACCCCCTCGGGCTTCATATGCTACTTCAGGCTCGATGCAATGGAAGGAGAGGTTCCGGCCGGAGACGAAGCACTGCATAAACATATGGTCGAAGCTTCGCAAGGTTTTCTAGGATCGGCGCTGGCCCCTCCAGAATCGAGGAGGAGGAGGATGAGGAGGAGGAGGAGGATCGATCGAGGATCGAGGATCGAGGAGGAGGAGGAGGAGGAGGAGGAGGAGGGGGAGGAGGAGGATCGATCGACCGATCGATCGATCGAGGAGGAGGAGGAGGAGGAGGAAGATCAGGGACCGCGTGTCGAGGTGCCTCCCTCGGCCCTCCCCCTCCTCCCCCTCCTCCCCCTCCTCCTCCCCCTCCTCCCCCTCCTCGGAAGCTGCAGAGGGCCTGGTCGGCGCTCGGGTCGGCCGAGTCCTTTCGGGCGATGGCCAGGAGGCCCGAGTGCTGATCTGCCTGAGGCGACAGTGCCGCGGCTGATCTGGAAAACAAGAAACAGAAACGACAGAAGCCGCGCGGATTTCTAGGATCTGCGTTGGACCTCCCTCCCTGGCGCGCGCGGAGCGCGCCAGGGGCGGCGCCAGGGAGCGCCAGCGAGGATCCAAGGAATCCGCGCGGAGCGCCAAAGGATTCGGTTTCTGCCGTTTTCGTTTTTCTTCTATGGTTCAGGTCAGTGCTCGGGCGGCTACGGGGGCGCCCGCGTTCGTCCGGGGCCTGGGGGGGGTCAAATCTCCGGTTTGGGGTCCCTGGGGGGGGTTATGGGGGGAACAATCTCACACGCTTAGAGACCCACAATGGGTCGGCGGATTTGGGAATATTCCTCCTGTAGAGGGACATGCCCGACTTGAGGCATGTCAGAACCCTTGGGCAGCATCGGGCCCTGCTTGGGAGCCTCACGGATCTATCTCTCTACGGGGCCTCGTGGGCCGTCTTGGGGCTCCATTGGGTCGTCTCGGGGTCTTTGTGGGGCCCTCGTGTTGTCGTTGGGCGATGTTCGGGCCTCTCGGGCCGTCGCGGGACGTCAGGGCGGCGAAAAGGCGAGAACGCCCAAATCATTGAAAGACTTGGAGGGAAGTCACACATTTGTTCCTTTTGGGGTCCTCCAGGGGAGCCTATTTTGAGCCCTGTTGTGGCGTCTTCGAATCTCTGCGGGCCGTGTCGAAGCCATCGTGGGCATCTGATAGCGCGCTTGGGGTGTATCGGGGCTCACTCGGACAACTTGGGGGGGCTGGTGGGGCTGTCTGGGCGCCAAGTTGTTCCCGGCAGGTCGACGGGAACCCCCGAGGAACCAGTCCAGAGGTGCACGGGGTCCCATGGGGAGTGTCAAACGCGCAGTTTTGGGCCTTGGGGGAGGGACTACAGGGGGGGGGAGGGGGACGCCTCACCCGCCTGGGGACCCGCAAGGGGTCGGCGGAATCTTTGAGCATCCCGCCGGAACGCATCCAGAGCCAATCCTATCATGACGGATACCTTCCGTACAGCAGCCTGACTGGTGGCCTCCGCGCCCTGATGACCTGCGGGCCGGCAGGCTGGGACGCCTGGCGGACAGGTGCTCGTGGGTGTGTGTGTGTGTGCGCGCGCCGTCGGCCAGAGCGCTCTCGGCTTCGGGTTGAGTCGGGCCTGTCCCTCTACAGGAGAAATGTGCAAGAATAGTCAAACAAAAAAAGTATGGGGACGATATTTTTAAGTTTTTGGGAACATGTTTGGTGTATTTTATGAGTATTTTGAATTTTTCGTCCACAGTCCGCCTGTAGGGGGACATGCCCGACCTACGCTTAAGGAACCATTGGATAAGGAATTCAGGGTCTGGAAGCCGGCGCAGCTCCAATCGTGGATGGGCCACGAGTTTCACCGCCGCCCTCGTCGGATAAGGAATCTTCCAGGGTCTGAAGCCTCCTGGGCACGCTCCTTAACCAACGCCCCCACCGTTCGAGCTTTCAACGGCAAGCTGTTGCATCAGCTGGCGCAAACGGTCTAGGGCAGTCGGGGACATCGGGCAGCTGGGGCATGCCCCTGCCGGGAGCGGACGAGGACGCTTATTAAGAAAGTCAGTGCGTTTTGAGGCCACCTGAGCTTGCGAACCCCGCCTGCCTCCCACGCGCTCGCGGTGCACTGTGCCAGCCGGGGCGGGCGGAGTGGGCGCACAGAGTATCTTCACTCCTCCTCCTCCTCCTCCTCCTCCTCCTCCTCCTCCTCCTCCTCCTCCTCCTCCTCCTCCTCTCCTCGCCCCCTCTACAATTACTCAATATGAATAGTACTCTCCTCTTTCCCCTGATGACGGGTTGGGAGTGTTCCCCCCCCCCCCCCCCCCCCCCCGCGTACTGTTTTTTACACAGGATTCCCCAGAGTTGGGTTTTCGCCTGCCTTTTTTTCAAAATGCTGCTCTCGCAGATGCGCTGGCCTCATTTTCGGGCCCCGCTCGTTCCGAATCGTGCTCCCGCTGCAGCGCTGGCCTCATTTCCGTGCTTCCGCTCGTTCCGAATCGTGCTCCCATTGCAGCGTTGGCCTCATTTCCGCGCTTCCGCTCGTTCCGAATCGTGCTCCCGCTGCAGCGCTGGCGTCATTTCCCGTGCCATGCCACGGCATGCAATGCAATGCTAGGTTGCGCTCCGCTGCGCGATGCCATGCCTTCAGCTGAAGTTGTGATATGCAGTGCTTAAGTGCCACGTCGTGCTATGCCACGCTGCGCTTGGATCTTCAACGCCATGCTATGCAATGTTATGTTCGGGGCCGCTGTGCGATGCCATGCTTTGCGCTGCAAAGCTTTGTGATGCAATTCTTCACTACGCCACGCCACGCCATGCTGTGACATACTACGCTTTGCAGTGCTCTTCTACGCCATGCCATGCCGTGCTCTACAATGCATCGCGTACCCTTTCGGGATCATTGCCCTGCTCGACATCCGACTGTGCGAGTAGAGAGGGGATCTACGCCATGGTAAGGAATGGGAGGGAGAGGTAGGATGTCAGATATGACGCGAGCGCACCTAGCTTGCCCTCCCCCCTCCCCCCCTCTCCCCCCCTCGCCCCTCCTCCCCCCTCCTCCTCCTCCTCCTCCTCCTCCTCCTCCTCCTCCGCCTCCTCATCCTCCTTCCTCCTTCCTCCTCCTCCTCCTCCTCCTCCTCCTCCTCCTCCTCCTCGGAGCGGCCAAGGAGCAGGTAGCTTAGGATGCAGCTCCTGGGAGGTCTCAAGTTCACCCTCGGCGCCGGTATATCCGCGGCCGCAAAGCGGCCTCATCCGGCACAGCCCCGGCTTGTTCCGTTTGATCCCCTCCCCCTTCCTCCTTCGCCGCCGCCTCCTCCTCCTCCTCCTCCTCCTCCTCCTCCTCCTCGTCCTCCTCCTTCTCCTCCTCCTCCTTAGAAGTCCTGAGCTCAAACTGGACAAGTGCCTCTGGCTGGTTCCTTGGCCCTGTTCTGCGGCGGGCCCTCCGCTGTGCCTCGGCCAGGGCCCTGCTCGGGCGGGGCAGGCCCCGGCCGATAGGGAGGCCCCCGCTCGGGCGGGGCTGCCTCCGGAGCGCTCTCAGAACGTCTTGGAGCGCCCTCCTCCTCCTCCTCCTCCTCCTCCTCCTCCTCCTCCTCCTCCTCCTCCTCTCCTCCTCCTCCTCCTCCTCCTCCTCCTCCCCCCCCTCTCCTCCTCCTCCACGACCCCTCCCCCTCCCCCTCCTCCCCCTCCAGGGCTGTCTCCGGAGTCTGCACGAACGAACTGGGCACGGAAAGAATTGGTACAGTGCCCAACAGCGGATTTGGTTCATTCTGAGCAGAACTTGCTGTCCACGCCGCCGCGGCCTGTGTCCATTCAAGACAGGAGGCCGCCTGCCCAACAGCGGCCGCTGCTGGTTTGGGACAACATTTGTTGTTGGGCATTGTGCCCATTCTTTCAGTACCCATTTCGGGCGTCCAAATGGAGTGGCCGCGGCGCCCGATGGGATCTCAGAGATGCCCGATGCATCTCTCGAATTATGATGTTCCGACCTGCTTTAGTCTTGACCACCAGAGGGAATTTCGAGCACCAGGGAAGCACCGAACTCTGCAGGGTTTTCGCCCGTCGGGCCCGATACTCATTCGACAATGTCTCGATACTGTTCTAGGTGCCCGAATTTATTTCTGGGATATAGTGCTTAAGTGCGATGGGAGCAACACAACTCTCGAAGGAGAAACGATTACAAGCGCTCCGCGCGGATTTCTTGGATCTGCGCTGGGCCCACCCGGCGGCGCCTCCGGCGCCGCCCCTGGCGCTCTCCGCGCGCCAGGGAGGGGGGTCCAGTGCAGATCCAAGAAATCCGCGCAGAGCACCAACAGTTTATGTGTATGGCGTTTTTCTTTCTCGAGGGTGGACAGAGCCCCCACCCTGACACGTCGATTCGTGAACTGTCCGTTTCCGGTCCTTGGGAGGGCGCCGCCAGCCGTCATTTCCCAGGCTTGCGCACGCCAGGTTTACCAGAGGGGGTTCTGCCCTTCCCCGACCTTCTTCTGGATGCACCCTGGCCCGCTGCCGCCCCTGCCCTGGCCCCCGCCCTCCCTGCGGCGGTGCGCGGCAGGATCCTCGGCGGCTCCTACAGCATGGAAGGCGACGCCTGGCGCGGCGTGAGCCCCGCGGCCAGGGAGCTGGTCCGCGGCCTCCTCGTCCGGGACCCTGGGCAGAGGCGCGGGCCGCGGGCGGGCGGGCGGGGTGCGGGATCGCGGGGGGCGGCCACGCGCGATGGGCTTGCTCCCGAAGAAGAATTGAAGCCCACAAGCATAAACTTCTGGCGCTCCGCGCGGGCTTCTTGGGTCCGCGCTGGGGCCCCCCCCCCGGGCGGCGCCTCCGGCGCCGCTCCTGGCGCGCTCCGCGCGCCTGTGAGGGGTGCCCGGCGCGGATCCAAGAAATCCGCGCGGAGCGCCAACACTTCATGTTTATGGTTTTTTGTCTTCCTCTAAAATTGGAGGGGAGAAGCAGGTGGAGGAGGAGGAGAAGGAGGAGGAGTAGGAGGAGGAGGAGGAGGAGGAGGAGGACCCCCTCCCCCTCCTACTTCTGGTGGTGGTGGTGGTGGTGGAAAACAGGCCCACCAAAGAGGGGAGCGATTACCAGGGCTGGACCTAAACGCTGTTTTGCTGGACTTCGGCTGTGTTTTTGTTCCCCCCCCGTTTTGGCAGGGAGGTGCAGGAAATCAGGCAGATCGAAACGAAACACAAAACGAAAGCAAAAGGAAAAGCAACGCTTAGGTCCAGCCCTGGTGATGACCCGCTTCGCGGCCGAGCGAGGCCCGCCCAAGAGCATCTGTTTGTTTTCAAACCCGGCACATTTGCTTGCACGGACGGGGGGGAGGGCCTGAACCTGCAGCAAGCCGCAAACAACCTGCACGAGCGGAAGTCGCGCAAATCGAAAGGCATTTGCACGCGAGCATTCGTTTGAAGAGGAGCGAGGGGGGGCGGGCGAGCGCCATGCGGGCAAACTTGCGTGCATCTGAGAAAGCAGGCTCCCAGCGACTCCTTCCGCCTTGGGGGGGGTGGCCGTGCTCCGACACGAGGGGCTTTCGGGAGTGGCAGCCTGCGACCCGAGGCTCGGGCCGGGGTGTGCCCTCTGTTTCCTGCCCCGGCTGGGGGCCGAGCGAGGGCGGTGGGGGGGGGGCCTATAGGGGGGGTTCGGGTCCGGCCACGAGGGGGGGACGACTGGGGGGGAGGGGATAGCATGGCGGGGGCCACGAGATCTCCCCGAATCTCATGGCGCCTCTCCCTATTTCGGTCCCCTGCCCCTTCCCTGGGCCGCGCACCTGCCGCCGGCCATGAGGTGCGCCTCCCCCCCCCTCTCTCGGACGCCCCCTCTCCTGGACGCCCCTGGTGGGAGTTCTCGGCAGCCTGCGGCAGCCGATGCTCGCACGCTGTGCCGGAGGCAGCCAGGCCGAATAGGCCGAATAGGAGAGCGACGAGGCAGCCAGGCCGAATAGGAGGGCGACGAGGCCGAATAGCCGAATAGGAGGGCGACGAGGGGGGGAGCCATGCCGAATAGGAGGGCGACGAGGGGGGGGAGCCAGGCCGAATAGGCAGCCAGGCCGAATAGGCAGCCAGGGCCGGGCAGCCAGGACGAACAGTGAGGGCGACGAGGGTGGGAGGGCCCGTCGAGGCCACGTCGGCCCTCCCTGGCGCTCTGCGCCCCTCGTGGGCCTCCTCCTCCTCCTCCTCCTCCTCCTCCTCCTGCTCCTCCTCCTCCTCCTCCTCCTCCTCCTGGGTGCTTCTCGCTGCCACGGCCGGATCCGCCTCGGGACTCGGGCCAGGGGGACTCCATGGGAGGGGTCCGGGGGCCGAGGTTGAGCGGATTTGCGCCGTGTCGGACGGGCCCACAGAATCGAGATGCGTCCGTTCCAGAGCGTTCCCGAAAATTCTCAGAGCGTTCCAGAGCGCTCTGAAACGGCCGCGGCGCCCGATACATTCGGAGGTGGATAGACCTCCTACCCTGACACGTCGATTAACGAATTGGCAGTTTTCGGATCGCGAGAGTGCCGTCATTTTTGCGGGTCCAGGTCCGTCGGTTTCGGTCCCAGGCCGTTTTCACCAAGGGGAGGTGTATTAAAGGGAGGTTTGTCCACCTCCGAATCGAGATGCGTCCGTTCCAGAGCGTTCCCGAAAATTCTCAGAGCGTTCCAGAGCGCTCTGAAACGGCCGCGGCGCCCGACACATCCTCCTGACACGTCCGTTCTCAGAGATTTCTGATTTGCATGCAGTGGACATCCATACCAAGAGACACCCTGCTTGCCTCCAGTGTGCGCTGGACTTCTTGGGCTTCTACGGTTCTGCTGTGGAAAGCGTGAGGATCCCACACCAAAAATCAATGGACGCTTTGGTGTTTCAGGGTTGGGTTTCTTCTGGAAGATCTCTGGTGGTCGAGCTCCTGCTCTAGGTCCGATGTAGTTTCGATTATGCCTTCGTCTTGCCTTGTGGGAGAAGTGCTGCCGTTTTTTTCTTCATGGGCCCACCTCCAAGGCGAGAGGGGGGGGACGACGAGCAAACCAGGAGGGGCGTACAGGAGAGGGGCTCGAGTTCGAGGAAGAGGCCAAGGAGGCAGAGCACACGAGTGAGTGCAAATGAGTGTAGTACTAGTGGCCCCAGTTCACCAAGGATAAAAAAGGACCCCTAACTCGAATAGCACAGTGAAGACGTGGCTTCACTGAGGCCCCCGTCCTGCATCAGGGATACACGAGTCTGGGCGGTTCGGTTCAATACATCTATGCCGAAGAGGCCCCCTGTCCCTAATGCTTTTGGCTCTCCTAACTAAAATCCCCTCACTGATGGTTAGGGGTCCTTCTACCAATCATCAGCCCTTCCCGCCACCGTGTCTTGGTTGTAGGCCAGAGGCTTCCTGGATGCACGTGGAGATGTCTTGGGAGGCCTCTCGGAAGCCTCCTGGAGGTAGGTTTGGGATGCATTTGGGCTAGTATCTGGAGCCTCTCGGGGGCCTCTTGTGGGCCTCCTGGGGCCTGATTTGGGCCTCTTGGGGGCCCCCTGGAGCTGCTTGTGGTCTTCTTGGGGGCCTGCTGGAGGTCTGGAAGTTAGTCTTGGGGTGGAGGACTCGAAATGTCGGTTCGGTTCGTGTTCCCCCTCTGGACCTCTCTTGGGGCATCTTGATCGATTTTGAGAGCCTCTAAGGCCGTCTAGGGGCCCTCTCGGGCCGTTTGGGGGCCATCTAGTGGGCTTCTTGGGGCTCTTGAGGCGATACTGAGGGCCTCTTGGGCAGACTTGAGGGCCCAGAAGGCACGAACGCTAAAATCAGTCAAGCACCTAAGGGAAATCAATGATGTTGGCCTCTCGGTACCCTCTTGGCGTGCGCCTCTCGGAGCCCTTTTGAAGCGTGTTTGTGGGCCTCCTGGGCAATCTGGAGGCCATCCTGGGCGTCTTAGAGCAGTCCTCGGGCGACTCGGGGCGCGCTTGGACCGCCTTCGGAGTCTCTCGGGGCTCTCTTGGGCCATCGTGGGGCCCTCCGGGCTCCGAAAAATTCTGCGCCGAGGCCCGGCCGCGCCCAGAGGCGCCCGTGAGCCGCCGGCACTCCGCGCTGCAGGCCCAGACAAAACTCTTTGTGGACTGAGGATACGAAGGACCTGAGGACACGCCAACTCAGCCTGGACACTCCAATTCGTGCCTCGGGACACGGTGGCGGATATGGTGAATGGCATGAGCAGGATGAATGGCATAAGCAGGATGGGGCGGGAGAAGGAGGAGGAGATCTCGGAAGGAAATTGGACGAGGGAGAAAGAGGAGTGGGTTTGACGAGAGAAGGAGACAGGAGGGAGAGGAGTCGCTCTCTCTCCCCGCCCCCTATGCATATGTGCATGCGGTCTCCCACCGATGCCATGATTCGCCATCCCTGCTCCCGCGAAGAATGCTGTTGTGTGTATGTCTCACTGCTTTGAGGCTTAGAGCAGACCAAGTGCACCTTCATCCATGGATGGCCTTGACCGAGGATGAGGCAGCTGCTTCCCGTCAGCTTTGAGCACCCGCCGGCCGCGACGGCACCGGGCAACAGTCACCGTTCGTTACGTATCTGGTGCCATGATCACGGATGCCAACCACGACCCGCGTCGAACTTGGGTCATCATTCTAGGGGGCCACATGCGAACCCTACCCTTACCCCCCACGATTTCTGGGGGGAAGGGTGGGGTTCACTTCGTGCGGGAGCTCCCGAGCGAAGTGAACCCCGCCCTCCCCCTCAGAAATCGTGGGGGGTAGGGGTAGGGGTAGGGTTCGCATGTGGCCCCCTAATTTGGGTCAGTCGTCGTCGGTGACTAGAACGTGTGGCCGTCCGGTGTCGCATTTCTCGTTTGGCCCCCCCGAATCGACTTGTTATCGCCTCCCCAATCCGCTTCTTTCGCCGATCCCGCTCGGAGTTTGCCACTGCAGCTTCTCTCCCTAATCATTGTTCTCTTTGTCTGTCCGCGGCCGCCTCTCTCGTCACTACCAGCACCAGCGGGCCACCTCCGGCGAGGAGGTCGACGATGCCTCGCAGAGGGGCCACACCTTCGCTAAGCACCACCACTGCCAGCTATCCAGAGCCTCTGCAAACTTATCCAAGGGCCCTCTGGATAGCTAACATATCCTGGGGCTCTAGGACAGCTTTACTCAGAGCCTGTCCCAGGGCCGGCGGACAACTATACAGAGCCTCCTCAGAAGCTATCCAGAGCCTACTCAGCCTATCCTGGGACCCTCCGGACAGCTCCTACTAGGATCTATCCGGGGGCCCTCTTTGGCCAGCTTTCCAGGACCTACGCAGAGCCTATCCGGGGGCCTTCTGGACATCGCTATCCATGGGCCTACTACGACTTACGAGCCTGCCCCAGGCCCCTCCGACGGCGGCACCCAACGTAGAAACATTATATGTGCGCCGACCCCCAGGGGCGGCGAGCGCGACGAGAAAATTTACAGTATAAGCTCCGTTGCGGGCGTTGTCTGGCCATACCGTTCGGGAAACGATCTACCGATATGTTCGGGTCGGAAGCAAGCCTCTGAAGGAGGACACATACTACTATCAGAAGCCGGGCGAAGGCTGGCAAACCCGTGGCTGCTAAAACGGAGCTCAGAGAAATTGTTATGTTCTTCCGGGAAGCAGTCTATTTACTACGTAGCGCGCTGAGCTTGATTCCGGGAACTTGTTTTTTTTTCTTCTGGGAAGACCGTCTTAGCAGCCACGGATGTGCCGGCCCTCGCCCAGCTTCTGATAGTATGCCCTTGTGCGCTCCACTCCGGACAGCTATCCAGAACCCACAGTCGGGCTGCTGAAGAAGGAACCCTTTTCGTTGGGGAGGGGCTGGGTGTTCCTTGATTGTTCAACACCTTGCCAAAGATTTTCCTTAAGTTTTCGACGGGAAGTCGAAGTTTCACTTATGGAAGAAAAGGGGCCTCGTTCCTTATTTAGGGTTCCTGAGGTCAGCGCCTCGACTGTACTCAGACCTGGACCTTCTGGCCAGCTATCCAGAGCCTGCTCGGACCCATCACGGGCCGAGCCCATCCCAGGGCCCTCCTCACAGGGGTCCAGCGCGGGGCTGTCCGGCCAGCTGCACCGAGCTATCGCGGACCTTCGGGCCAGCTAGCCAGGGCCCGTCACCAGCCACTCGGACAGCTACATCCAGAGCCTACCCAGAAGCCTATCCCAGGGCCCTCCGGTCAGCTGTCCGATATGTGTCCAGATAGCTGTACAGGTAGTTTTCCGATGGGTGTCCGGGAGTTGCCCAAGGGGTGTCCAGATGGGGGTCCGACAGGTGTGCCATGGGAGTCCCATGAGTGTCATGTAGCTTTCCGATCGGTGTCCAGATAACTGTCCGGCAGCTGTCCGATAGATGTCCGATAGATGTCCGATAGGTCTCAGTAGTTGTCCGATGGTTGCCCGACAGCTGTTCGATGGGTGTCCAGAGAGCTGTCCGATCGGTGTACGATAGCTGTCCGAGAGCTATCCGATGGGTGTCCGATAGCTGTCCAGATATCCTTCCAGATACCAGTCCGATTGGTGTCCGTTAGGTGTTCGATAGCTGCCGATAGTTGTCCCGAAAGCTGTCCGTTAGCTGTCCGTTTGGTGTCCATATGGTTGTCCGATAGGTGTCCGATAGATGTTCAGATAGTTGTCCGTAGGTGTCCGGTGCAATCTTCCTGGACCGTCATTAGATGGACAAGCACAGCGCTTACCATCAAAATTCGGCTTCAGGCAAGTTGCAGCAGCCACCTATCAGGACACCCATCGGACAGCTATCGCAGACCAATCGAGCACATATCGGACACCTACCAGACACCTATCGAACAGCCATCCGGACACCTATGTTGCACCTATCGGGCACCTATCTGAACACCTATCGGACAGTTACCCAGACACCTGCTTGTCGGACACCTATTTGGACACCTATCCGACACCCATCGGACAGCTATCGGGACACCTATCGGAAAGCTATCGGACACCCATCGAAGGCCTTTTCTGGATACCTATCGGACAGCTACCTGGACACGTATCGGGCAGCTATCGGACACCTATCGGACACTTATCGGACACCTATCGGACAGCTATCTGACAGCTTTGAGACACCAATCGGACAGCTATCTGGACACCTATCGGACATCTATCAGACAGCTATTTGGACACTCACCGGACAGCTACCTGGGCACCCATCGGACAACTATGGGACACCTACGAAACCCCTACCGGGCAGCTATCTGGACACCTACCGGACACGTACCGGGCAGACATCGGACACCTATCGGACAGCTATTTGGACACACATCGGACACCTACCGGATATCTGTCAGGGGACCTATCGGACAGCTAGCGGACACTTATCGGACACAATCGGACAGTTATCTGGACGCCTATCGGACACCTATCGGACCCGCATCGGACCACGATCGGAACGATATCGGGGCACCTATCCGGCACTTATCGGACACTTATCGGACAGTTGTCTGGGCACCTATCGGACACTTATCGGACAGCTTTCTGGACACCCGTCGGACAACAACCGGACCTGCACTGGAACACTTCTCGGACCCCTAGCGGACAGCTGCCTGAACACCTATCGGACACGACGGGAGGGCCCTGGATAGCTGGCCAGAGGGCCCTGGGATTAAGTCGGGCCTGTCCCTCTACAGGAGGAATATTCAAAAATAGTAAACAAATAGTCAGGGGACGATTTGTTATATTTTTGTATACTCTGTGTTTTAATAATGTTCATTTTTCGTTCAAAATCCGCCTGAACGGGGACATGCCCGACCTAACCCTGGGACAGGGTTTGCGTCGTCTCTGGATAGTTGACCGGGCCCTGGGAGCGCTACTCCAGCGGTATTTGCCAAGGAATGCGGCTCTTAGAGCGCGAATCCAGCGTAATTATTAGGGGGGATTTGGGCGGGGGATCGGCGAGTGGGACTGGAAGGTTTCGGGGTGTTGAAATAAGGAATCCGGAGTGGAAATGCATATTTTCATACACCGGACATAATATGGAAACCGTTTCAGGGTGGAAGTTTGGAATGACATCATTATGTTCAAATGTCTTCCGTGCATTTCCTAAGCGCCCCAATTGCTTAGAGTAGGCTCTGGATAGCTGACCAGAGAGACTGTGATAGGTTTTGGATAGCTGACAAGAGGGTCCAGGATAGCTGCCCAGAGGGCCCTGGGATAGGCTCTGGATAGCCGTCAAGAGGGCCACAGGATAGATTCTGAGCAGGCACTGGATAGCTGTCTGGATGGCCCCAGGATGGGTCTGAGTAGGCTACTGGAAAGCTGTCCAGGGGGTGCCCAGGATAGGTCTGACTAGTCTCTGGATATAGCTGTCCAGAGGGCCCCGGGATAGGTCTGAGCAGGCGCCAGATAGTTGTCCAGAGGGCCCGGGATAGGTTCTGAGCAGGCTTTGGAAGGCCTTGTGATAGGCTTTGAGCAGATTCGATATGGATAGCTGTCCAGAGGGCCCCGGAGTAGGCTCTGGATAGCTGTCTGGAGGGCCCCAGGATTAGGCTCTGGATGGTTGTCTGGAGGGCCCCGGGATAGGTCTGAGTAGGCCACTAGACAGCTGTCCGGAGGGCCCAGGATAGGCTTTGAGCAGGCCGTGGATAGCTGTCCGGACGGCCCCAGGATATACCCTGAGTAGGCTCATAGCGGTATGGAGGACCCCGGGATATGTTTGCGTAGGTTTTGGATAGCTGTTTGGAGGGCCCCAGGATAGGTTCTGAGTAGCCTTTGGATAGTTGTTTGGAGGGCCCCGGGACAGGCCCTGAGTAGACTTTGGACAGCTGTCCGGAGGGCCCCAGTGAGTATATGTTTTGGGAGGCTTCCTGGAGGCCCCAGGATAGGCTGTGAGTAGGCATGGATAGCTGTCTGGAGGGCCGCGGGGTAGGTCTGGCTCGATCTGGATGTAGTTGTCCAGAGGCTCTAGGGGCTCTACATAGCTGTCCGAAGGGCCCTGGGACACAGGCCTCGGAAAAAGTAGTGAACACTCATGCCACATTCATCTGTGAATGCCTCCCCCTCCCCCCAATGTTCAAAGTTGGCGGTTGGTCTGATGAGTCGCACCTCGACCGCAGTCTCCCCCGCGCGTGCCAACCTTGAGTTTGGGGGGCAGGGGGGGTGTTCACTAATTGTTTCCCTCTACCGTAGGTCCCAGTAGGCTCTGGACGGCTGCCTGAAGGACCCCGGGACAGGTCTGAGCACGCCCTGGATAGTTGTCCAGAGGGCCCGGGATAATTCGTGTCCGGAGGGCCTCTGCACAGGTCTGAGACAGGCTCTGGATAGCTGTCGGGACGGCCCCTGGGTACCTGTCTGGCGGGGTTCCAGATGCCCCAGCAAAGAACACGCTAGGGAAGCTTCCCGTGAACGATGCCTCCCCGAGCCGGAGGAGACGTCTCGAGCAGGACGCCGCAAGACAGAGGGCCCGCGCCGCCCGGAGGGCCCCTCTCCCCCGGCTCTTCGCGATGCCGGTGGTTGGGTTGCTTCTCCTGGCTCTCTGCAGTGCATCGGGGGTCCCCAAGCGGGGTGGTGACCACACCGTGCGGTGAGTCGGTGAGAATTCGGGGTCACCGCACGGCTTTGGGACTCGGGTCCCTCTCCGAGGACATCTCGGGCGACAGGAGCCTCTAGGGTCCCAAGACCGTGCGGTGACGGACCGTGCGGTGAGGTCTCTTGGGGTTTCGAGGTCACCGCACGGTCTGTCACCGCACCGTTTCGGGACTCCAAAAGTGTACCGCGCGCCGAAGCTCTGGGGCGTGGAGCGGAAGCGAAAGTTAGGCGCGGAAGTTGTACCGAAGCACGCGCACGCATGCGGATGGTGATAGTTTTTGTTGTCCACTGTTTTGCCGATCGGCGCGGGCCCTCGGACCCCCCTCTCCCCCCCTCCTGGGAGTAGATCTTGACTGTTTTTGGCGCCTGTTTCGAGCAGGTGTAGCCCCTCCCCCAGAGGACGCACTGTCGCAAACAGTCGCACTAAGCAGAGGTCTGAAGCCAGACCCTCCCTCCGCCCCCCTTTCCGCCCAATGCCGAAACGCCGAATAACAAGCGCTCACATGTCTGTGCGTGCAAAGTTTCCAGTCGATACCTGCGAACGCCGTCTTTCGCTGCAAAGTGGAAGCTCATGCCAAGAAGCGCCCTGCTTGCCTCCAGGGTGCCCTGGGTTTCTTGGGCTTCGGTGGTTTTGGAATGGTGAGCATGACGTCCCCACACCAAAAATCAATGGACGTCCCAAGTCCTGGGGTGTCAGGGTTGGGTTTCTCGTGGAAGGTTTTTTTGTCGTCGAGCGCCTACTGTACCCTCCGCTTTCTCCTTGGAGTCGCACCCTGCCGTGTGAATAGCCCACTGCCCCCCGCCCCGTCGTTCCCCCCGTCCGTTTTTCACCGCTCTCATCCATCCGCCGTGTTCCGCTTGTTTGCGCGGAGCCGCCGCAGACAGAGGATGATGAGAAGAAGTAATTCGAAATGGGAGGATGTTGCTGAGATGATGATGATGATGATCATGGTGATGATGATACTGATGATGATGATGAGGAGGATGAGGATGAGGATGAGGATGAGGATGAGGATGAGGATGAGGATGATGTTGATAATCATCATGATCATGGTGATGATCATGATGATCATGATTACTATGACGATGATGATGATGATGATGATGCTGCTGCTGATGATGATGATGATGCTGATGCTGATGCTGCTGCTGCTGCTGCTGCTGCTGCTGATGATGATGATGATGATGATGATGGTTATAATGATGAGAAAGAGGAGGAGGAGGAGGAGGAGGAGGAGGAGGAGGAGGAGGAGGCTCTCCTCTCTCTGTCTCTGAGTGTCATCCCCACCTCATCCTCCCCCGAACCCCCTACCCCTCCGCTTTCAGAAGGAAGAGAGCATCCTTCTGCCCCTCCTGTTAATGAGGAGGAGGAGCGGGACGGGGGCGAGGGAAGGAGGATCAGTCTGGGGAAGACAAGACCAGGATCAGGACTCGAGGAGGAGAGAGGAGGAACGAGGAGGACGAAGACGAGATGACATGAGGAGGATCGGGGGGGAGAGGAGGATGGGAATGGTGGGGAGGGGAAGAAGTTGAGAAGGATAGAGGAGGCACGAGGAGGCATGG